AGATGATTATAAATGAAAAAAATTGGAACCAAAAAAGGTTTGCGCCTTGGTTGGTGTTCCAGATTGGAGCCAAAACAGTAAATTCTAGTGCTTTGCTGCAATGTGGGCTGGTGAATGCCCCACTCAACAGCTGTTTGACGCCATCTGAAAACCAGTTTTTCCAAACTTTTCATTTATAATCATTCTTCTCATTTCCCAATCTTTCTTTCTCTCAGCACTCCCACTCCCCCAAAATGAATAACAAAGCTTTTGAAAAAAATCAATTTTATTTTTTATTTTTCACAAATTTTAAAACTTTATTTTTGGCTTTTATTATTTCATATTCATTTTTTGGGACCTATTATGCACCACCTGACCGAGTCCCATGATTTCAACTTTGTGGTTTGGAGCTCTGGAATCCAAAATAAGCAGCCACTTTTCACTGTCTAGGCACTGTACATGTATTTGGGAAGCTATTATGTATGTTTGCAGTGTAACAGGGATCTGGAACTTAGGCCTGGTACAGTTGTGGACGGCAAGAACTGACCCTGGATTTTGAGGATGTCCAAATGGTCGAGCCAAAAATTCAGATTTTTTTTTTTGAAATTTTCAGCCTTTTGAGCTGTTTGTAGCTTCCAGATCGTAGAAAAAATACACTAGAATAGAAGATTAACAGTGAAAGTAGATGTTGAGGGTGTACAAGTAGTATAAAACCATGATTATTCATAACTTAAATCCATAAGTATGGGTTTAAGTATTGCTTAATATGTGATTGTCCGATTATCTGTATGTGGAAATGAAAAAAAATGAACCACTCACTCAAAAGCTTAGTGTTTACAATTTTGAACTCTACACATCTGTAGGAGTTCAAAATTGTAATAAAATTAAGTGTCGGGGCACATGCCCCCCGGGGCATAGGCCCCGCGTGTCCAATTTGGATTTTGCGGGCGGGGCATGGTCGGTCTATGCCATACGCAACTGTAATGGTATCAGAGGTCATGATCAGACAGAGAAACGAATGTTAATTCTGATGAATCAAAGAGACATATCACTACTGATCTCTTGAGATTTTTCATATGATATTAAGCAAGTAAAGAATTGCTACATGAATCTTGAAATAATAGGGGGTTCACAAAACCTTCTTGCAAGAAGCAATTTATTCTTGTACGAGGAACTGCAGCACTTCTGCAGGCTTAAAATTCAGGGGGAGCTTGAAATTTTTTGCTGAGAAAATTAACGTAAGCAATGCACAAGCAAGAAAAAAATAACGGTTTCAAGAAGCAAAAAAATGCTATTGTGAACCCCTCTAATAATCTTATTCAAAGAAAATAAATTCCAAGATCAAATGGAATCATAATGGAAGTGAAATTCTTACATATGACAGCTTGGTATATATCAGTGCAAGAAAAAAGCTCACCAAGGTTAAGTTATAAGTACGACCCCCTACATGAATTCATTCCAAAACTGATTCCACGGGGGTTTGATCTTCCATGGAGAAAAAAAAATTGGATTGGAGGGTTTGAAACTAATTGACTGGATGAAGGGACAAAAGAACCAATCTGTATGGATTTATTGTAAGAGCTATCTATGAATATACTATACAAAGTCACTGGACCAAAAAAATGAACTTGAACACGGGTTCCATTTTGATTAGTATCACTCTCTGATACCTATGTGCCGTTTTAAACACTGATAAGTGATCATTGCCTCTCTTCTGTTAGCCATAAACTTAAATGCCACTCAAGCGCTTCAGCTCTCTCCTTGAATTGGCTGGTTTCAACTTTCCTGCTAAGTTGAATTTTTATCAGATGAGAAAATAAAATAAAAATAAAAATTCCAAAAAAAAACTTTTTTATTTTCTCTTATAATAAATATTCCTCCCAGACTCTCAAAGATTGCTCTCCATTTTTTCTCCAATTTTTCCCAGCCCCCTTGGAAGAAAAACAAACAAATTGATTTTATGTACAGTCTCCTCCCAGATGTTTATAGCCATCTGTTTTGAGCTCCACACCAGGAACCCAAGAATTTCAAGTCACAAGATTTTGTGGAATGGTGGAAAATGGGTCTCAAAGAATGAATATGAAAAAATAATAATGATAAACAAGACTATAAAATTTGTAAAAAGTAAAAAGGAGAAAATCACAAAAACTGACAGCTCTGATATTTCTTTCAGGAAAAGATGAAATCTCCCAAGTGATAGTATGAGCTCTGGAATGAATAATAAGAAGTGAAAATTTGGATAAAAATGACTACTTGGTGGTTTAAAAAGGGTGCCTAGGGGGTCATTCATCAAGAAATGTGGCATTCTGGTACTGAAATCTACTAATTGTGACTACAGGGTGTCCACCCACCATGCTCAAACTTTTTTGGGATCAATATTTTTCATTTATAATCATTCTTTTCATATTCCCAACTTGCCCTCTGTGTGTTCACTTTTCACTCAAACAAAAAATTAAAGTTTTCAAAAAAAGTTGATTTTATTTTATCTTTTTCACAAATTTTAAAATCTTTTTTTCTATTATTATTTTTTCATATTCATTATTTGAAACCCCTTTTCCACCATTCCACAAAATCTTGTGACTTGATGTTTTTGGGTTCCTGCTGTGGAGCTCAAAGCAGATGGCTATAAACATCTGGGAGGAGACTGTACATTTGATATCCCTTTTTCCTTTCCAAGGATTATATACCTTTTTCATCCTATTCCTTATCCCAGATGGCCTCTCTCCCCCCTTTGCCATCCCATTAGAAAATAATTGTTGAGAAATGCCCAGAACCTGAAAGGCTGAACCACACAAGTGTGATCTTGACTTGGTGTTCTTCTGCATCAAACTTTGTCCAGGGTGTATGGCACTGGAGAAGACACCCTGATGATAGGTGAAACCTGTATTCACTGGTGATACAAATGCAAGCCTCCACAGAGAAGCAGAAGAAAACAGCCTCATGGTTTTCCAATCTGGGTTTCACAATAGTTGATGAAATTTTGGCCGCTTTATAAAAGTTCCCATCGCAATGCCATGTTAGGGTCCAAACTAGGGTTCTGACCCGGTGCCTCGGAGCCGGATTCTGTGCATCCCGCACCCTGACCCCGCGGATATCCGGCACCAAGCCGGGTTTCTCCGGATCTCTAACATAAATTTTTTTATGCTTTTTTTGCTATACTGTTGTGAAAAAAGGGGGTTCAGGGCAGGAAAGTGGTGCAGCAGCTAGGCCCCCGAGCGGGTTTGGTGCGGGTAATCCCCGAAAATCCCCGGCTTCTGGGGGTTTTTAGCATCCGACCGGATGCCGGATCTCTCTGGGTTGATCCCGAGCCCTGATCCGGTTTTCGGGTTTTCCGGATCTTTCCGGATCTGCGGGGTCCGGATCGGAACCCTAGTCCGAACCGGCGACCTGTGCAAGATGTCACAAGGAGTGGCTGAAACGTCTGTGAAACTCTTCAATTCTGTATGTAGCCAGCTACTGCACTAATAGAGTTTGCTATGTTGATCGATGTGACGAAAATTCTTGAACGCTTTGCTGAACGAGGCCGTATCATTTGAAATCAAAGTAAGTCGAAGAATTCTCTAAAACATGTTGGCATATTAGCAGAATTGAAGCTGACCATGGGATATGTATTTGATGATGCCAGCACCAACCACGTTTCCTCATGCCACCACTTGCCGCCGAATGTTTTCGAGTGACTCTTTGGGTCGATCCAGAACCTCCGTGCCTTGCTACAGCTGGCCAGGTCGGGCTTGATACGTCCGATGCTGCCAACGCAATCAGACTCAATCCAGGCGCACTCGAGCCTGCATCTGTATCGATCGGGGATTTATTCGAGATCGTTCCTCTGGTCAGTCAGGTATCATCAATCCCGGAGGCCTCGCTGGTCACCGCCCCACGATGGCAACATGAGCCGGGATTCATGCTAGCCATTCGTCATCACACTTTGGTTCGCCAGCAAGGCCTACAGGTCCGTTGGCTATCCTTTTGAGTCTACTCTTTTTTGATTGGCATCCACTCGGTCTCCTGACGTATTTGTGCCTCGTTGACCAGCTTTCCATCCCGATCGCGATCGCCAAAGCATTTGATCTGGAAAAGCTCAATCGACATGAAGTTCTGTTGAGAAAAGTATACCCTTCGTTTTGACAGAAAGGCGTTCTCCGGTCAAATTATTATTATGATTCTAACTACGTTACGCGTCATTTGTATTCATTAATAAAGCTGCCAGCTCCTCTCCCTTCGACACACTGCGCCGATCATGTCGAACTCTCATTCCGTGACCAATATCTCGGACGTGGTGAAATGTGTACTTGACAATGGCTTCTTTCGCCGACTTTCACTCGGAAAAAGAGAGAAACAAGTCAGGCTGACTGTCTTGTTTGATGTGATCGGCAGGGCGGATGACGATGATGATGGTTGATAGTTGTGCCTGGGTTGGCCGTGAGGTCACGTTAGGAACGTTGAAAGTTAAAACGAAGGTCGGGCGTATATACGTCAAGGGGAAAAGAGTACGTTCATTTCGTTGCATAGAGCTCAGTTAAACTGTCGGCTGGGTTTGTCAACTTGATGAATGGCTTCATAGGTGCTCTCGGGATATATCACTCCTCATACCAAGTTGATCTTTCGATCTGAAAGTGCCAAATGTGAAGCTGCACTGACTACTTCCCTGAAATTAAGATTGATACGCCTAGAGAATTAAATGATTGATAAATCGTCTTTCTCCTTTATAGATTATATTTTCATCCAAATCAGCGCAGAAATGTGGACGTTTGAAGAAGATGGATCACTCTATCACGAAAAAGCAATATTATTTCTCGAAGAACTTTTCAGCCGCTGGGCAGGCATAGGCACTAGTCATCTCGTTTCACTCATTCTGTTTTCCAGAGTCTTCTATTCAGACCAAGAGAAGGATCAGGTTCCTCCTCCTCTATTGGTTTCCGGAGATGGCAGGACATACAAAGATTTTTACAAAGTATAGCAGTCAACCCATTATATCAGGTTTCAGTCAGGAATGCTTATCCATCTCTTTGCAGGTCGTCGCCGATCTAGAACCCCTAACTCGCCCTCAAAAAGTCCTCGACGAAGTCCGTGACGAAATATCCAAGTTTCAAAAGCATGTTCTCACATACACCGGTCCTAACGGCATCCGAAGATTGGCGGGTAAGCTCTCTTATGCTCCTGAAGGTAACGTACTAGAAGCAATGGGCATCGCATGCAATTCATTTGATGAGCACTATATTGACCGGGACCTGCGAAGGACTGGCGTCTCTATCGTCTTTGTTACCGCCGGTACCTGCGTTTACCACGTTGATCAAATGTTATTAAGACTAGCGACGGAGCGATTCATTGCTCATGGGGTGGGGGTGGATTTTGTCAGTCTGGCCAAAATCCCTTTGCATGTCGTGCCTCTGTTTAGATTCTCTGCAGCCGATCTAGAACCCAATGGGATGCCGCACCAGACCTCATCTTGGACGATCGACAACTCCCTGAATCCAATCTACATAGATTCCCCTTCACCTCACGCCCAGAAGTCCATTCACTACAGTGTTCCATTCTTTGTTGACTGCTCGTTCTTCTCTCGTCATCAAGATCGGCCGTTTCGGATTGATCGCTTCATGCCCAGATGCCGCCTGCCACAGTTCCAAAATGGGATAGGAGAACACGATCTGACGGGCATTTCAATCCCATTACTCAGCGAGAGCATGCCTCAATCGGCAATCAGCGATGACGCTGCAGCCCGGAAAAAAGCCAGACAACGTTTTGATGCTCAAGTGGTAGATGCCTCCCCAACCCCGCTTGCTCCTCTGCGCGCTACTGGCATAAATCAAAGATCTGGCTCCAGAGCCATGGTTGACGGCCTGGCTGTGACGGCGGTTGAGACAAAGCGCAAATTCTCTACCTCCAAACACGAAGAAATAAACCGTTCGCCTTTACTGAAAGCGACACTGCCTCAAGGTGCAACCGATTTTTCCCACCTCACCAACCAACCATCAGCAGGACTGTCAATTGTACCTATTTCCAGCTCTGAGACTAGTCGCGCTCGTGCTACCTCTTCATCCACCAGTGGATCTAACAATCCGAAAGCTGGCACCCCGGCCTTGATAGCTCGATTAACCAATCTCTCGCAGCAACATCGCTCATTTTGGCCATGGTCAACTAGTAGTAGTTCTTCGGCGACAATAAAGGCAGAACCAACTTTTCAAGCGGCTACAATTAACCCTCCACCCAGCCCGCCCGAAGGCTCTCGAACTTCTCGAAATGAAGAGACCAATGTACCCACTGGCTCGGAGGAACCCCCTTCTACCGCTGTGCAAGATGGAAGTGCTAACGGCACTCGCGCTGGTCGCTCTGATACCTTGCGGTCTGCTACAACTTTGATGCCTTTCATCAATGCACCCAGGCGTACCGTTTCAGCTTCATCAAACCAGCAAGACACCACACCGATAAGCTCTCGTGCCCCGAGTATTGCTCCCCAAAAACTCAAACACCGTTTGGTCGTCAAGAAATTCAATCCTTCTAATCCATATTGCAGTGCCTCCGGGTTATTATCGCAGTTTAAAAAATGGAGCGCGATCTTTCCACGACCACCTAACAACCAAAGATCCTTGAAATGGAAATCATTGACCACGCCCGCTTGTCTGCCGATTACCACGGACTTTGCCCCAAATCAGGACGAGTTGGATAATTCGTATCTACTGACAGAGTATGAGTTTCCTATCGGCGATTCCTCGATATTAGTCAAGTGCTCGAATGCTACGTTCAGTGCCGAAGAATCGGTGCGCAATCATGCCGCCTCAGTTCTTCGAGAAGCGATCTCCCAGAGGCTCAGTCAAAGCTTTCAGCTTGTAGTCCCGCAATTGCCGCAGCATGTGGCTGATCTTTCCCCTTCATCTCGTCCCTCAAGACTCTCCTTGAAGGGTATTATCAAAGAGGCTGAGAAAGGCCAAGGTGCTTATGTAGATCTTTCACTGAGTGACCATTATCACAGACTGTCGATTCGACGCCTCGAATCTGGAAAGCCGACACTCTCTGTGCAGATATACGTCCGCCACCAAACTTGGAAAACAGAGTCATACACTTATCGACCCGCAATATGGTGGTCTAATGAAAGGCCCGGGTGGGATGAATTCAGTATACCTTTCAATTTCCCTCTCCGCGACTTTTTCGACTTTGAGGCATTGGATAAAATCATTGTTGGAATAGACAATGGGATACCTTTGAATGACGGCTTGAAGTACTGCCGTCTGAGAGCGGCTTTCTTACCTAGTCTAGCTAACGTTACGGGGGACTCTGTGTTGAAACCACAAGGCAAGGCTCTCCCTTCAGATGATGAAAACCGATTGGCGGGAATGATGAAGCTGCAAAGCACTCTGCGGAACGTCAATTGGCATTCAATCGGTGATTCTGCGATGTCAGGCCCTACACTTGATTTTACCACGTCGGATGCATCTCAACATGTTCGGCATGAACGTGATAGGTCATTGGCTTTCGCCACTCCTACTCGGGACTCACGAGATAAATCAAGCCACACGATCACCTTGAGAGACCCTTTGAATGTCATAGTCGAAGCCATGTTGCATCCTGCTTCTGGAGTCGAAGTCAAATCACAACTAGTACAGTTAAGGCTGATGGAAAACGTATTCCAGGGCGACAAACTTGTGACATTTTTGAAACATCAGTTAAGCCTCGGGACAAGGGAAGAAGCTTTGAACTTTGGACGACAACTAGAAACAAGAGGGATGTTCAAGGAGGTCACCAACGGTAACCAGCCAAGAGCTCTCATTGATGGCAACAGATATTATCAAATCAATTCAGAATATCGCCCCATGAAGCCACCGCGGACCTGGTTTGGCAGACCTACTACTGACAAATTACTCACAAGCAGCTCTAACCCAAAGCCAACTTCGAATCCTGTGATCGGACCCTCAGCTGAAGAAAGCAAGCGATCAAGCTCTGTCAGCGGAACTCAACTCGAACGAACTGTTGCGAACATGACTCGAGTCGGAATAATCGATCTGGATCCGACCGGTAAAAGCGATAGGAGTGAAAAGGCGATCCTGCTGTGCGACATCAGTCATTCACCGTCAAATGCCTGGCACGTCGAAATACAGTGGCTTGGCATCACCTCTTCACTGGTAGATAGCATGCTTCAACATTGGGCAAGAATTGTCGAGAGGTATGGGATCAAGATGGTAGAGCAAACCTCTAGGAGACTAGACCAAGTTTCAGACTCGAATCCGCTACAGAGAACTACTCGAATTGAATTGGCTGTCAAGCCACCAACCTTGGATGGCTTGGAAGAGCTCATCCCCATCTCCACCTCCCCCAACTGGTATTTTGAAGGACAGTTGATGAGAAGCCAGGGGTTTGTACTGGATGTCGAAGCGGATCGGAACTTTCCGAGTGATGTAAACGTTGTTTATTCGTGAGTAGTTGTTTGTGGATTGATTTTGTTTCCAGCGCAACGGTCCAGGTAACGATTGTATGACTTTCAGGTACCGCCGTCATTCCCTGGATTACTCTCAATATATCCATCACACTGGGGCAGCAAGTGTCCAAGTGCAGGACGGCTGTTTGGTCTGGTCAGATAATTTGCCGGCGCGGATCAGTAACAATCGGCGGTTTATTGGCGGCAGAGGCGAACCCAATTCCTCGGGAATCGATGCCAAGCAGTTGAGGAGCTCGCTCATTAGACTCTGTAATGACACAGCTCGTTTGAAGCAGTTCTGGGAGGATTGCGTCGAAAATCTGCACAAGACTCGTGATCCTGCTGAATAAATTCTCATACGATGCGGATTAATGACCGGAAGCTTCAAATTACCAGTTGAATTGATTACTCTCCTCTATAAAACCCTTTGAGAGATTGGTTCATCATTCTACATCAAACCAAATCAGTGTCTGATCTATGTACAAATATCCCTTCATTTAGATATCTTCTCTCTAGCATCCACATATCTGAAGGTCACCTCAATGCTACTTTTGCAAAACACAATTACTGCTCCTTCTGTTCCTTTCAGGTGCTTTCACTGCACACCAAACTGTGTTACTTTGCAGTACGACCTGACCCCAATCATGTGGCTCAAGCAGTGGTGCCAAATCTGACCGAAAGACGAACAATCATGCTAATATTATTAGGAAGTTGGAAAAAGGACCCCCTTTTATTAGCCTGCAGCTCCCAAATATTGGGGGATGTTGAGATCTGTGCTGCTTCAGTCTTCTTAGGAAGCTAGCAAGGGCTCCTGAGAGGGGCCCCTTGGATTATGTCTCTTGCACAGACATGCACCTTTCACATAATTAGGGAGTATCAAATTCAAGAAAACCACCATTAAAAACCAGTGACTTTTCCAAAAATAAAATTTTGCATCAATGGGTTCCCAAAGGGGTTAGATGAGGAACCAGCAAGTTTAATAAATGGTGGATTTTGCCAAACCAGTCAATTAAATAATGGTGGATTTGGTTATATTTGAAACCCCCTATTGGATGAGAAAGATTGTTGTTGTTACCTTTTCAGTGGCATCATTTTGCCACCTAGGAAAACCCAGAATAAGGATGGGTGTTGAATTTTTGAACGCTGTGAGAACTCCTTTGGGATGGGTTGGCAGTCCTTGAGGGGGAAATAACAATAATGATATTTCACTAGATAATATTTACTGTTACGGGTGGTTTGAAAGACCTGCCCCTCTATTTACTACACAAGAATTCTGACAACAATTTAATTTATTGTTGTGGCGTAACTTTATGATGGAGAAAACTTATATGTAGTAGTCTCTATCAGACCTAGATCAGTATGTAATTCAATACAAGATGGTTGTACAACCTTTACACGGTGAGTATGGGTGTGAAAACAATCCAAGTGGAATATTTTTATAGGGTTTATGGTTCTTACGGTGATTCTGGATAAGTAGTGAAACTGTTGGTTGTTGATGTTGTTGTTGGTGTTGGTGTTGATGTTGGTGTTGGTGTTGGCGTTGGTGTTGGTGCTGGTGTTCGCCCTCGCGTCGGGCGTGGGGGGTGGGTGTTGTTACTGGTGTTGACTACACTTGGATCGATGATGACCACTGAGCTGGTTTGTGGGGGATGACCCTGCTGGGGGATGATGGTGTTGACCACTGAGCTAGCTGGGTACTGTGCTGGCTGGGTGATGATGGGGGAATTGGTGAAGGAGAGGCCTCATTATATATTCTTTTCTGAGTTATTTTTGCTGGTGGTGATGCAGTTGAGGTTATTTTGCTGGTGGTGACCTTGTGGGTTGCACTGCCTCCTGCAAAGAGTACATGCATTGAGCTAATTATGCTGTGGAAATAACTAAATATGGTACTGCTGTATGTAAGAATTGCATAACTGGTTGCACTGCCTGGTGGAGGTTTTTTTCTGTCCACATGCATTTATGCAAAGTCTGCGTAAATTCAATTAAGTAACTAAGTGGAGGCCTAATGGTTGCACATATGCATGAAGAATTGCATAAATGGTCTGCACTACTGGTGGAGGCCTGCTGATTTAATAATTTATGTGTATGTACTTATATATATGTGGTAAAATACTATTAAATACTAATTAATGACTAGCTATGGTATGGCTTTAACCTTTATATTGGATTATCTTCTAAACTAATAGAGATAGAGGTATGGTTGTAGTGAGTGACTATGGGTAAAATTGTATGCAGATTTTGATTATGCAATAATATATTCATATATGTAAGTGGTTTAGGTTGTAAGGTAGGGGTTTTGGCAGTTTTGTTGCGCACAACAGCCTGGACCACCACAACGCCTGACTGAGAGAAATGGGGTTTTGAGACAATGGCACAAAAAAGTTCAAGATGCTTTTCTGGGATAGGTTCACGGAAAAAGAATGAAAGAACTGATAATTTTTTTATTCACTGATATCTAGCCAGAATTAAATAGACTAAACGCAAGTGTACAAGATGTGGTAAAGAAGAAAATGAATAAAGGATGATTTTGAATAAAAACTGAGAGGAAGAAATATATGAGTTCATGGAAGTAATAACCAAACAAGCCTTCTCAGTCTCTTTTAGACAAGCTAGAAAATTAATCATGAAAAATCACACTCTACCACAAATGTTTAAGAGTTGTTAATTCTAAACAGTCGGATTTTATGAATAAACCAGATTAGAAAAAAGAAGAAGACTTTTGAGAGACATGAGTTGTTGACAAGATCTAGAAGTTTCATTGACTTCAGAAATGAATTCAGGCAACAAAAAACAAGCTACTTAAAGCCTATAATCCAGTCTAATTTTAAGGAAGATTCAAGACATAATAAAAGAAGAGAAGAGGCGGAATTGGAGGTATTTTATGGAAGAGTAGACAGAAGACAGTGAAAACTCAACAATGGGTCACATCCTGCTGGCAAACATAGTTTTTGTGTGAGATTAGAGCTATCAAGCAATCAGACCTCAGATAAATCTGACACTCCATTTCTTTTACTTATGATGCTCCTATTTATGTTTTGCTAGAATAGCATATGTATCATTGATAATGTATAATCACAGTCACCCATGGATATCATCCTGAGCTGTATTTCTGGGCTTTGTTTTGTCTATGATCAAAATTAGATTTATATAGAGCATACATTGCTGATTCCTGACATGTATGTCTACTAGTAATTGGACTTCTCCTGTAAAAAATTATAACAAGCATAAAACAGTTGAAGCTTAATACAGCTTTGCATATTTGCTTCAAGACCAATCTCGAGCATGATACGACTCCCCATAGTTGATTGTAATCTCTTCTCCAACTCGAATCTTCTTGCTTGCAAAGATTCTTAAAACCTGTGTTCCAGCAACGTACCAGACTGTGCAAAAACAAAACCCCCTCCCAGGAAAATCAGCATCTTCATGCCTTGTTTCCCTTGTTTCTCATAATTATGACAGTCAAAAAGCAGACTAACCACATGGATCGGCATTGTATCGCTTATTGATTGGCTCATTAATGAAACGAGTTCGGTTGCCAAACTTGCCACTATCGACCGTATCGAATTGGTTCAGATCAAAAAGATAGCTCTACAATAATACTCCTCATAAGTGCTTGCCAAGGGTCAGATTGAATGATCTGTTCATAAACAAAGCGACTCACACTCTTAGATAGACTGGTTAACATGCTGGGAAAGTGTGTCAAATTTATATAAATACTTCCGACCATCAATGAGAAACAAAAAAAAAAGACAATGCTATTCAGATCGTCTTACCTCTGCTTTGCCAGCTCATCTGAGCGCAGTAAAACACCGGTGTATTCTCCTATATAATCTCCCATCGAGATTGCTTCTCCGGCAAACAGTCCGAATCCCGAAATCTTACTAGGTGCCACAAAGGTCCTCTAAGAACCATAATGTAATTTGTTTATTCTTAAGTCCTTTCATGGAAAAGTGGATGCAACAAAAGGAAAAGAAAATTGGGCAGACCTTTTTCTTTTTAGCAAACATAAAGTTACTACATGGATTAGTGGGTTTGCAGGTTGGACATTTGCACAACAAAGGGTCGCATTCTCGATTCCGTTGGACGCATTCACAATCTTCATCGCAGATTCGACGACAACGACAACCTTGGTATCTTCGTGGGCCTAAGTGAAGGTGAGACAATAAGGGCCATTTGACACCAGAATCAAGTCAAACCAAAGAGAAAAAGGCTCACAACTTTCTGCACACTGACAGAATCGATCACAGTAAGTCGTTAATTTGTAGCAATCACAGTCTTGATTTGCAAAACATTTTCCGGAATGCGAACAGGGGACATATCTGTAATTGAAAAAATTTAATTGACCTTTGCCCATCATTTCCTCATTGATAATTTGAAGGAACTCACCCGCCAGTATCAACAGGTAAAGCATTTAAATACCTGTCAGGTGATGGTGACCTCCAATTGGGAGAGTGATGTCTCGGTTTCCCTGGTACACGTTGGTCATCTAACATGAAAAAAGTCAGTTGTCTTCATGGGTAAAGACAGACGGAAATATTCAAGTATTTCTGGAAACTTACAGTGTCCCTCACAGTAGAACTGCTGACAGATATGACACAATTTACTCCAGTTTGAGGAATCAGACGCCGAGGTCTTGAAGATCCTCTTATTGGCTGGTAATGTCAAGCGAAAGCTATAAGATCAATCAATTGAATGCGTGCTCTTGATTTTTGTTTTTTTCTTTGCACACTCACTCACATACCTATCTATGATTTCAGCAATTGAGAACTCTGAGGAAATGATGCGGAGCGGAATCGGCGTGTTTTTAAGGCGAGAACTTTTTTTCAAGCGAGTCCAATCACGAGAATAGATATCGTAAAGCCGGGAAAATTTCGCTTCGTCATTGCCGCTAATTTTGAGAGCTAGAGATTGGATCAGTTGATCATCTGAGGGTGGTTCGGTTATGCCGTTTGGCGGCAGTGGGCTCATAATGCCTAACAGACATTCATTTGATGGTAAATTGAAAGCTTCAACCAGCTCATAAAAGTTTTGACGAAGAACTGGATGGGATGGGTATCATCTGGAATCAGCATAAAAAAAGGGTGATATATCATATTACAAACAGTAATTACGCACCATCAGGACATATACGATCAGTCAAACAAATTTCATATTTCTCTGTGCTTGCGGTTTCTTCCAATTCTTTCAGTTTTTCTGCGGGGCTCTGCTTGTCATACGCCTCGAAATACGGCACAAACCGGATTGCCGTTAGCTCGTTGGATTCGTGAGAGCGGATGTTATCTCTCTTGGGGTATGCATTCCTGTCTAACAGACCACACCACGTATACTGTGGCGGGCGGATGTGATGCTCGAAAACTGGGGCGGCTTTGTTCTGAGGAAAATTGGGTTCACATCTTGATCCAGATGTGTCCGATAGGTTAGAGAGTATCTGTAGCCAGGGGGGCGCATTGAGGGTCGGATTCAGTCGGTCTTCCTCCAATCCGACGCGTATGCTACTCAGAGCTTCCTATATATTCACAAAGCAAGGAGGCACAGTAAGCTAGAGAGTCCACAGAATAAATTTGGATGGAGTCTCACCGCAATCTGTTGCCCCTTGAGCTCTTTGAAAGCCGTTGGTCCATCAAGAGGAGGGAGGGGATCCGATTGACTGAGATTGGTCTGCTTGTTGCTTGATTTCAACTCGGATGAACTTGGATTGATTTCGGGATCATCTTCATGTAGATTGAGGTCTGAGTTTGCCATGAGGAGATCCAGTAGGGCCAAGTGATTCTCGTCCCGGAACTTGAGTGTTTACAACTTTACGCCGGCAGATAGATGCAGCCGTCTGAGCAAGCACGCGTTTGTGGTGAAATCTGTCAATCAGATGGGCGCGGTCGCAATAAATATAGTTGATCGCGTCACAAGCTCCTCCGGTCAGCCTCGAATATGTAGAGCTAGATGCCCTGTGGAAAATGACGATATCGCCGAGCCACCAATGACCGAAGAAGTAGGTACAGCCGTTCCTTGTACTTAGTTGAAGACTGTGATCGAATGGGAGGAGAAGGGGAATCAATCAGCATCGCCCAATGATCCGAAAGACATAATCAGAGAGAACTGGCCGACCGAATGAGATGTTTCATACCGATTTATGTATTAATATACGCGAAGTTGGACCCAGCCTTAACGCGAAGCATATGACCATATCTAGTAGGACAGGGCGCTGCTGGAAGAAGTGGCAGGGAGAGAGCTGGACGGGTCACGGGCCCAGCTGAGTGTGGCCCGACTGGCCCGCTACCCGCCGACCACCCAGCACAGCATTAGTCAGAGTGACCTCATCCCACCAAAACCCAAAAACCCAAAAGCATCCCACCTCGATCACCACAATGGCCGACCTCACTGACTTCGAAAACCCGCTGGTGGTCGACAACGGTAAGCAGAAAAAAATAAAACCTTCAATTCGATTCAATCTTGATTTGGTTCCCAAATTAATTTCACTCTTCTTGACCTTTCACCTTCCAGGGACCGGGTTCGTAAAATGCGGCTTTGCTGGTTCAAGTGAGTATTTGGTCAACAACTTCAAGCTTTCTTAGACAGACTGACTGACTTGAGATTGGTTTAATCTCTATTTGATATCTAGATTTCCCGTCGCACACATTTCCATCCTTAGTGGGGAGACCGATTCTACGAGCAGAGGAGCGTTCGACTGGACTAGGTCAAACGGCGGTGACTTTGAATGAGATCATGATCGGAGACCAAGCCTCGGAACACAGAAACTATCTGCAAGTCACTCAGCCCATGGACCATGGGATCGTCAAGAACTGGGACGATATGATCCTCTTATGGGACTACACTTTCAACCAAAAGCTGAAAGTTAACACCCAGGGTAGGAAGATCCTCCTCACCGAACCCCCAATGAATCCCGTTAAAAATCGTCAGAAGATGTGCGAGGTCATGTTTGAAAACTATCAATTCGGCGGGGTTTATGTCGCCATACAGGCTGTCTTAACCTTGTATGCTCAAGGTCAATCCTCTTCTGCCACCATTTATTTCGTGTTCGATTTGTTGAGAATCTGATTAGGATTTCATTTGTGTCTTCTTTTCGTACTCTAAGGGTTACAATCTGGCGTGGTGGTGGATTCAGGGGATGGGGTAACTCACATTGTTCCAGTCTACGAAGGATTTTCACTCCCTCATCTGACAAGAAGATTAGACGTAGCCGGACGAGATGTCACCAAGTAATCTTTCACTTTCTTTTACCCTTCTAACTATTAAGGAAATAAGAAAAGGCAAGGTTTCTTAACTCATTCTTACCTTTTGTAGATATTTGATCAAATTGCTCCTCATGAGAGGCTATGCCTTCAATCGCACGGCCGACTTCGAAACTGTCAGACAAATTAAGGAAAAACTCTGCTATGTTTCGTGGGTTCTCTTGCGTTGGCTTTTTCGTCTTAGTCGATCCATAAAGTTGAAAATTTCACCTTGCCACGCAACAGGTACGATTTGGATCTAGATAACAAGCTGTCAGAAGAAACAACAACCTTGGTCGAGAATTACACCGTCAGTAATATGAAATATCTCATAATAGAACAAAAAAACATCGCGGCTTCTTCTAGTCTGCTCGATCTCCTGATGGATGGCTGTTTCTCCTTTCTCATGCATATACCAGCTCCCCGATGGACGAGTGATCAAAGTCGGACAAGAACGGTTTGGAGCACCTGAATGCATGTTCCAACCACATCTGGTTGACGTTGAATCACCCGGAGTAGCTGGTATGTAAACATTCATAAGTATCTGGGTGTCTCCGTACGGAGCACTACCAAGTGCTGATAATTGGAAATTTCAAGTTGGAATGTTGATGATTGCGATTACCATTGATTTTGTTGTAAAACACAGAGCTCTTGTTTAATACGATCCAAACGGCAGCAGTCGACGTCCGCAGTGAATTGTACAAACATATTGTACTTTCGGGTGGCTCAAGCATGTATCCAGGACTTCCCAGTCGACTCGAAAAAGAAATGAAACAGTTGTACTTGACAAGGGTATTGCAAAATGATCCTGAACGACTAAGTGTTTGTGCTCGTTCAATTTCTGTCCATCCACAGCTCCTTGAACCTTCCGACTGATTTTACATTCTCTTCTTATCAACACTTCCAGAAATTCAAAATCCGGATCGAAGATCCGCCTCGACGTAAACATATGGTCTTTATGGGCGGCGCTGTGCTAGCTGATATAATGAAAAACCGAGATTCCTTCTGGTGAGTGTGGCCTATCATCTTCAAGGATCTCCCCCTTTTGTGAAAAAAGGGGGAAACATCTCTGTCAAGAACAGAGCCATTTTTTATGCAGATGTAAGGTCTTCTTAACTGACTACTTGGTTAAAATCCCGTGCTTTTTAGGGTGACTGCAGAAGAATGGCAAGAACAAGGCCCAAGAGCCTTGGACAAACTTTCTCGAAATGAATGAGTTGTTTAAGGTTCTGAGTCCAATTTGATTTTGGTTTATGCCAATCTCTTGGTAATTCAACCGAACAGCTGATTTGGACAGTCCATCTCTCCGTGTACCTATTTTTCCCACCCCCAACTTCTATTTATGTTTTTTTTTCTGTCATACATATCTTGTTGCTCGTGTTTCATTTCTTTTTCCCACTCATAAAAAATCTTCATCAAGTTTAAACTCTATCTTTGATCGATGGTTTGGTTTCCAGAAGAAACTACTTATCAGCGTTTGAAAGCACATATTGGAGAATGTACACATTCCAAACTTGTGCCTGAGGCAAAGTTTTTTGAGGGAAAATCATGGTCCCTTTTACATCAATATTTCCTTGCGATGAGCAAACGATATCCATAAAGAGCAAAGCCTTGTTGATATAAAAACCACTACATATACAGATATATACAAATAGGTGAATTTAAGTTCATCACCATTACATGGATAGATAGATGATCAGGGCAGGTAATGGTGAACGTCCGCGGCGAACCCGAAAATACATCGGGAAACCCTTAGGCGAATTTTCGAGTTGTTCTTCGTGCTTGTTTGGAAGAGGGAGGTGCGGAAAAGTCATCGTTGTTTGTGATAGGAATCTTATTTGCTGCATTGTTGGGAATACGTTACATCTATAACCATCTTACCGCACATCGCACATAGTCCCTATGATTGATTCAGAAAAAAACAAAGTATTAGCACATCGGGCGTGCCTAAAAGTTCCAATCCGAGTAACTTCGTGTAAGAAAAAACTGACTTTTTTATCTACCAACAAGGCGAATATCAATGATGATCAGTTTAACTACATTTACTTATTTTTGAGAAAGGATCAGTGAATAGAGAAAACAAAACAAAGAAAGAAAGTGAATTGGTTTACATGCACAGGCTTGACAATATTTGGCACTGGGTCGAGCGACGTTAGCTTTGCAGGTTAGACATCGACCAATGAGTGAATGAGGAGGTTGGTTAGGTTTGGAAGCAGAGGAAGATGAGGAAGCGTAAGGCGTATATCGATTCTTGGAACTCTGCATATTTCATATCATCCATCATTTTCATTAATTCACTACCAACGCCCCTCCCACGCTCAAAATAAGATTCATTGGGAGTTAATAAAGAGACTCAACTAGAAGTTTGTTTTCGCCGATCTTCCGCTTGTTAATGGGGGCTGTATTCGAGCCTGCGATTCCTCTCACTTCAGGGGTCGCTAAAGAGTCTATTTTTACAACCCACATGAAGAAGAAGAAAAAACCCATTATAGCTGGTTAGTATCCGAGTTTCTCGAACAAAAGAGAAAATTTGGGCAGGTGAATACGCACTTTTGGCTAATTTTTTTTCGCACTTCGCAGGTGTTAACGTTGATCAATTCAGATCAGAAACGCGAGATTTGATGGATCGACGTGTTTTAAAGAAGAATGATGTTATCTTGTCAGCGGTTGATTCACCTAAAATCAGATCAGACGAAAAACGTGAGAACTAGCCTACTAGAGGTGCTTACTTTTTCACATACCATCCCTGTATTCTGTTTGGAGAGAGGTACAAGATGTTCCTTGTTGTGCTGAGTTCCTGTTGGAATTTATGTGGTTGGTGTGGTGATTTGTTGATTGTAAGTCTGCTTCAGCTTGACACCATTTTCTGGTTCACGGGTGGTGTGGCCCGGGGTCCGGGATCGGATCCGGGGTTTCTAATTCCCCACAAGGGATATCCGACTCAGAATTTGAACAGCTTTAAATTCTTATCAAGAGAAAGTTACCAATCAACTTTCAAAGACAATCAAAGGATTCCCATACATAGGAATTTGCAGTAGGAATTGTGGTGAATGGATCAAGCAGTCAACTGTCAAGTGTAAGTACACTACTATCTAAAAGAATCAGACAGTTGGGTTGTGATTTGATCTCAAGAATCATCAAAACCAACTTCCATCCATAATTGCTTTTGATCGTTCTTAGTACAGTTAGCTGTGGGTTTTTTTAAATGTAAAATTGAACCTTTTTTGGGAAATGGCAGAACTGTAAATTTCTTTTTGGATTTTGTTTTTATGAGATGGCATCTAGAAATAAAATACATGTAGGCCCAGTCAAAAAATAGGTAAAGATGATATGGGAGGAAGTTGAGCTACAATGAAATGTCCAGTAATCCCCAGGATTGAAAAAAATACACGATGAAAGCAGGCTACCACATAATTCAATTTTTTAGGATATCAGAGGGAAGAGAGAAGCTGGATAAAAATACAAGGGTTTTTGATCTACATGTAATCTTTTGTTTGAAAATAATTTTGAACAAATTGGATAAGAATTCTTATAGTAAATCAGATGGATTCATTATTTGCTTCATTCAGGAGGAGTGCTTTCATCACTTGAATGAGTGTGAAATGAAAAGAGTCAGAATTGGTGTTTGATTTAATTCAAAAACAAAAAAATTGATCAAAACAAAGGCTCACAAATCCCAGTTATCAATCTGAATCCTTCCAATTCCCCCAGGATCTCCACCAAGCTTAATAAAGATCTACATCAAGTGAGGACAAGATTAAATGAATCATGAGTGCTTGCATTGATACTGTGTTGAAAGTCACAGCTTCAGACTCACAGCTCGAGTGACATAAATCGTAGAGCAGCCTTGATCAAGTGTAAGCTTTTGTTTGTCCTCTTCAAGTGAACAAGAATCTAGAAATTTGCCTGTGGCACGATGTTTCCCTCTGTTAATGAAACTATAAGATGACAAAAACACAATTAGTTTCTTTATCTACCATACTTGAGATTTATGACTCACAATTTCTTGCCACAGTTTTTGGTGTTTGTTCTGAAGGTCAAAGTACAAAATATATGAAAGGATCAAATATAAGAAAACTTTAGTTCATGATTTTGATATCTTTTGCGTGTATTCAAAATTTCCTTACCCTGTAAGCCAACCAGACTGTTGACCTTGTGGTATTGGTTCAACTGAGTTTAACCCGCCCCATAAACAGGCACCCTTATCTTCATTAGTGTAAGTTATACCGCATGCCTAGATTGTACGGTGGTTGATCAGCTAAATGTGATAGCTATGCCAGAAAACAGAAAAAGGAGCTTACTCCATCACCTGGTGATAGAAAAGTGGTCTATGAATTGAATACGATTCAAATGTTCAATCAGATCAAAAATTTACCCTTGGGCCTAGCATGGCGATGATCATCAACAACTTACATTACGTCCAGCAAGGTTCCCATTAATCCGACCGGGTAGTTTCGCACCAGACTCCTTTTTATTTATCTGGGGGGCCTGAGTATTTACCAATCATCAATCAATTTTGTTCTGAAATTTGCTGTCAGATGTGGGGCTATATAATTGCTCACCAACGCAACGTTGACAGGTGGTTTTTGACCAGCGGGCAAACTTTTCCACCAATTCGCGCAAACAGATTCGCCCATGCTGCCGGTCGACAAGAGGTTGAAGGTCACAATCCCGGTAGCGAGAAGGACTATTGAAGGAGTTTTCAGAAACATGATTCCACTAGGGATGTAACGAGTTACCGTTTCGATTGGGCGGGGTGACTTTTTGAACGTTTTCTACTTAGGAATGATAGTGACGTCCAAATCGGCCAAGCGGGCAGCTCTATTTATGCTTGACAATTCCCTTGGCGAGAGCCGGATCCCCACTTCAGAGGAGATGTGTGGCAAAAGGCTGAGGACACATGACATGGTCATTTGGTTGCCCTCTGCTTGCCTCACATTGAGGACATCGATAATGAAGCGATAATCGAGCATAACACTGCTCCAAAGCTTTCACCAAGACAGTCATAGAGCGGCCAATGAAATCTGATTAGATATGCGCTAACCTTGCTCCACAAGTGTGTTGTTTATTAAAACTCGGCTTGTAACGTCTCTGCAACAACAAATGACTTTTCATGAACCTGCAGCCCGCGGGTTATTGGCACCGGTATCTCGATAGCAGCACTGATTGATGATGTGATGAATGTGCGGTCTGTAGATTGTGTTGCCGGTGCAGTTGACTCCCGAGGTTCAATTTTCATAACGGGTCGTCGTCCACACTTCGTGCCACTAAGAAAACTTGATAACAACCTACATATACTCCAGAAGTTGAACCCACTCGTCCCCGCCAAACATAGCCACCTCACTTCATTCTCTTTGACTGATGGCACTATTGAAATACAAATTTTATTTCACAGGGTAACTTGGCAGTGAGATAGGAAATTCTGTGCCGGCACTCAGTAGTTGTTCAAGCCATGCTGTTCAAGTTTCGAGGTTGAAGGTTAATTATGACTGGTGCTTATAATCATTCAAGCGGACGGATACACTCTCCTCTTCACGATCTGAACTTGACAACACACCAAGAGGATCTTGAGGCTTACTTGCCAAAGGACTATCTTTGATTTGATTATCACTTTCCAAACAACTGGCTCAAATCGCAAACAAAGCCATGATAGCCGCTTGAATCATTTCCATCATAAACCATTTTAGTGCTTGAATTCAAGTTACATCATGGATGATTATAAAATATGGCAAGTAAGATATCATGAGTTCCTGTAACCCAATTGGCTTGATTACATAAGTTATCAGAAGGCCGTTGATGGTATTGGTAGGAACTAGGACGATTGGTGCCTTTCGGGATATTTTTTCTTCTGAAACATCCTGACAAATTCTGAAATTTTACTTGGGTTTAGCAGCAGATACATTTTGGCCTCAGGAAGAAGTTTTCTCAGACCCTTGTGAATGTGATGTAAGGTGTAGACTCTTTTAATGTAAAGCAGGTATTTGTAAGTTAAGATTATTTTTTGGTGAAGTCATTTCAAGAATCAGATTACTCTTCTTTTTTGTTTTAACTGCAGATTTGTACTCTTCTTTGTGTCAGCTTTATCAATTTTGAGCTGCATACTTACCTATAGTGCATATTCATTGATTTGACAGCTCACCATCAATTTTCTGTTTTCCAGATGAAATCCCACCTCTCACATCACATTTCCAAGTCTGTGAAATGTAGCCTTCCAGATGCAAGCAAGCATTATAAAACCAACGATCAGATGTTGAAGCTTTTACAAGTAAACCTACATTCAGGCCATCAATTAATGGGTCTAAACTGAGCTGGTGGGCTGGCCAGTCCAAAATTCTCCTATAATTGAAGCAACGGTGGGCTGGTAGTGATGCCTGTATTGGTAGCACATTGTAAGGTAACAAAAAATTTGTGACTTCACACACCCATGGTTTTATCAAATCTGCAGATGGTCAGTAGAAATAACATCAAGGGCTGGAAAAAGCCCTTGATAACAGCCAATACAGGCTGTTTTTGTTGATACAGCCTGTAATGCATCATAAAAGATTGAAACATATATTAAAATTTTGATACTTTTTTGATAAAAATCACAGAAAAAAATTTAAAAAAAAACTGGCCAATGTGTTACACATAGGGGCAAAATATAGTAATGTAAAGTATTGGCCCACCGTTGATTGAAGCTAATTGACTGATGAGAGCTGGGAATGATGAAATTTTTAGGGAGGGGGGGCTCCCTTTAGGCTGGTAAAATTGAACTGGAAGTGGTCCATTTAGGCCAGGTAAACCAGGGGGAATTCCCGTAGAGCTAAAAGGTGGGGCAGAGGAAAATCCCCCACCGACCCCGCTAACGGCTACGGCAGGTGGCGACAAAAAAAAAGGCCCTCTATGCTGTGCTACAGCGCTTTTTAGCGTTTTGGGCCGCCTTGCCACTAAAAGCGCTGTGGTGCAGCGTAGCGTAGCAAAAAAACACTAAAAAAACGCTAACATTACATTTTTTTGATGCAAAAAAAGTGCCGTAACACAGCGGAATTCCCGTTAGCATTAAGCATAGCACAGCAGAATTCCACCACAACATTGCTAACGCTACACGTGTGGGCTGCAAAAAAGGGCCCTCTACGCTGCACTGCAGCGCTTTTTAGCGGTTTTTGGGCCGGTTTTGCCGCTAAAAGCGCTGTAGCGCAGTGTAGCAAAAAACCACTAAAAAAACGCTAACACTACATTTTTTTGATGCAAAAAAAGCGCCGCTACGCTACACTTTTTGGGCCGAAAGCGTAGCGTAGCAGCCCACCGCTGCACAGGCTCCTTGATCAATAGGAAGTCAGGCATCTTAGATTTCTAATTAATTCAACCTTATGATATTTTAGCTTATTCTTCTGAGGGTCTCAGGTGCATTAACAAAGTCTAAAGAACAAACGGGAGCAGATTACAACAGTACAGTGGGTGGACCGTTATTTTTGGCTGCTTATTTTGGGTTCCACAGCTTCAAAGCACAATCTCCAAGTCACAAGACTTGGTGAATTGGTGCAGAATAGGTCCCAAAGAATGAATATGAAAAAATAAAAACAAAAAACAAAGTTTCAAAATTTGTGAAAAATAAAAAATAAAAATGTTTTTTTCCAAAAGCTTTGTTATTGATTTTGGGGGAGTGGGAGTGCTGAGAGAAAGAAAGAGTGGAACATGGGAAGAATGATTATAAATGAAAAAAATTGGAACCAAAAAAGGTTTGGACAGGTTGGTTGTCCAGATTGGAGCCAAAACAGTAAATTCTAGTGCTTGACTGCAATGTGGGCTGGTGAATGCCCCACTCAACAGCTGTTTGAAGCCATCTGGAAACCAATTTTTGCAAAATTTTCATTTATTATCATTTTTCTAACATCCCAATCTTCCTTTCTCTCAGCACTCTCAATCCCCAAAAATGAATTTCGAAGCTTTTGAGAAAAATAAATTTTATTTTTTATTTTTCACAAATTTTGAAACTTTGTTTTTTGTTTTTATTTTTTCATATTCATTCTCCGGGACCTATTCTGCACCACTTCACCAATTCTTGTGACTTCAAGTTTGTGCTTTGAAGCTCTGGAATACAAAACAAGCAGCCAAAAATAACGGTCCACCCACTGTACATTGACCCTCACGCCCAGGATTAGAATCATCATATTAACAAGTGGGAGGCTCTATTTCTCAAAAATATTACTCTACAGCATAAAAAAAACAATCAAGGCAACAAAGGCAATGTTAAAGATTTCTTGATGACTGCTATACATACTCCAAGTGAAAAAACTCTCCAAGTGATGAGCAAAAAAACTGTGACCTCGGTGGGGATCGAACCCACGGCATACTGCGAATCCAAGCAACCGTTTGGAGCAATCTATCGATGTAAAGCAGGCATTCTACCACTGAATTACGAAGCCATGACGCAACCGAGCGAAACTGGATATATAAACTGGAAGAAATAGATTTTGGGTAAACAACCGAGACCCTCTACGTCATCCCACTCACCCAACTCCCAACAACCAAAAAAACAATCGAAACCTTACGACAACCAGAAGCAACAAACCCACTGAACCAGAGTACCGAACCACTCAAAGGAAAAGCAAAAAAAGCACACCAACGACCGGCCGGGGACCAAGAAACTTCAAGCATCATACAGCAAATTTCAACAAGGTTTTAATTAATAAGCAAGCACCACCACTCGGCATAACGAATAACAGGAAAAAAACAATCGCATCATAGATTATATCCAACCCCGAATGAACGAGATGGTCTCATTATCTTTCCCCCGCCCCGTCCGAGTGTCTTCTTCTGCCACTATCATCAGTTTGTTTTTGGTCTTCATCTTCTTGGCCAAACCAAGCCAGTCTCAATTCGGAAACATCTTCGAAGTCAGTCGTCTTTTTTCTCCTTGGCTTTTTCTTATCTCCTACTCAGAAAAAAGCCAAGCCAAGAAACCAAACCACCTCGTTTGATTTTGATTTCTTGGAGGAATTATTGATTGATTGATTATGATGGATGATGATGATATATAGCAATTCTTCCAGCAAGACGAGTCCGATGGTCCCCATCGACATCATTCAGGCCACTCGTCCGGTCAAGGCTCGTCAGATAAGTTCAAGATGGTCCGAGACCAGACCCGATGTTCCGACTACCTATGTCCCTCGTTCGTCACATCCCTTCCTTCTCTATTCATCTCGCCATCATGTATGTAATCCAAAAGACATTATTCTTCTCGCTTTACTGACCCCGCTGCTTCTTGTTTTTTTGTGTTGGTGGGTTTTGATTTATGCAGGACGCTGGATTGCGTGGCGTCTCCAAGCGATTGTCCTTGTCCTTTCATCGAAGACATCAAATGTCCCATCTCTATCCCTCTCAACCCTTCCTCTTCTGCTACTCTTAAAAAATTCCAGGACTCTTTTATTTGTACTAGAGCTCCGGGATGCTCTCAAGTTCAGAAAGCTCTCAAATTTGGATCTTGATAATCCAGATCACATCTCCTCTATGCATCTTTTCTCCTTTAGACTTACAATTTATCTGAACAAAAATCTCTTTTTCATGGATCATTTAAAAAAGAAGAGTCTCTTTTCCTTGAATAGCCAATTTTTTTTCTAGCTTGGATTTGAATGTATCTATCGTACAGGAAGAAGTGAGGCTTTGGATTATAGAAAAATTGCAGAGAAAAAAGAGATTTGTCTCGTTTACAATGTAATCATTTCTGTTTCTCTTAGACTTGCATGCTACTGATAGCTTTAGTGATTCCAGCGGCGCTTCCACCGTTGAGATCCCAAACAACAAGCTTGCCATCAACTCCAGAGGTACTGAGATGAGTGACGGCGCCGGGGTTACCAGCGAAGTTACGAAGACTGGTGATTGTGTTCGAATGGACGGTGTCGACACCGGCGCGGTTTCCGGAGGTGGCAGCGCCCTCGGCAGCGGACATCACCCCGCGAGAGTCGGCGGAACGGAAGAGGTTGAAGGCCTCGTTATTGAGTCGACCGATTCCGCCTGCAGGTTGGCGTGGAGATTGAGCCGAGCTGGCGGCCTTCCCTTCGTCGAGTGTCTTGACTAGTTGCCAGCCGGCCTGGGCGTTACCCTGGAAGACCATCGGCTGACAGTCGTGTCCGGCGGCCACAAAGGTGTCCTCGGTGCAAAAACTGAGTGAGATGAATGGGAGACTCGGGAGCTTGATCACATGGGTCGCATGTGGGGGCGAATCTGGAGCACTGGGATAGACGAGAGTGACGGCAGAGTCGTGGGAGACGAAGGCCAATGCGTCCCCGCTTGGGGAGAAGCAGACGTCGTGGACCCAGCCGCCGGAGGGAGCGGAGAAGTCGCCACAGATCGTGTTGAACGGAATTCGCTCGCCCCAGACCGTCGGAGCCGGCTTAGAGTCGACCCCCTTGATGTAAGCGCTGAGGACCCGACAGGTGGCATCGGCCGAGCCGGCGGCAAGCAGGACCGAGTTGGGATGCCAGGCCAGACTGAGGACGGTAGAACGGAGTGGCTTTTTGAGATGCTTGGCCACCCACCAGTTCGATTCGTCGTCATACTGACACACCGCAATTGCCCGCGCCCCCGATCCTACCGCAAACTTAGCCTCGTCCGGTGACCATCGCACAAAGGTCGCAGATCGGTTCAATCGTAATAAGACTAAGGTTGGCTGCCAGGTCGCTGGTTTCGTCGGATCGAGCGGGTCCGGCCCGTATTGCCATACATATGCATTGCGATCCTGTGAGGCCGTCACGATCTGGTTTCTTCCTGGTGCCCAATCGATCGAAGTTACTACCTTATCATGCTATATTTTCACAGAATAATCAAAGTATTGGTTGGTTGGCTGTTTGATAATTTTGTTTGTTATAGATCTTTTATAAAATAAAATGGTAAACTGACGTCTGAAAGAGTATGGATTGATGTCCAGGATGAAGCCTGGGTTTTCTGATAAATTTTGACTTGGTTTGAGTTTTCACAAACGGCCAATTCTGCATCTCTCACACGAAAAAACAGGGTATCAAAAGATATCAACACAAAGTGCATGAGGGTTTTTTTAGGAAAGAAGTCTTAGACTGACGGCTGCGATCGGCATTGAAAGCATGAGCGGTGATTGCGTCGGTAGCGAGTTGGTTGATTTCGACTGCCATGGCTTTTTCGATGGTCGATGAGATGGAGGGAGGACTCTAGCAGTCGACTACCCTGAAGGCTTGATATCTTTGGTTGGCTTGTACCAAGATGGGCACTTTGGTGTGCCAGGCATCAGCCGAAGAAGTCGTCATAGATGCCAGATCTGGAGTGTCCGCACTGATTGGCCCGGCTCATCAGTCGGGTCGGGTCAGAACTGCCGCTGCCGATCGATAGTCTCAGGATGAAACCGGGTTGGGCTCGGGTCGAAAAACAGTGCCCAGACCCGTCCCGGCCAAACTGGCGGGTCGGGTTGGGTCGGGTCATACAGTCAAGATTGCTGCCCAAACCTGACCCAGCTAGGGGAGCAGGCGGAGGACCCCGGTGAGCCCTTGGTAGACACACTGATGTAAATCTGGGCAAAATAGAGTTTCTGCTACATGGTTATTTTGGGTTTTTTCCCATTTATGCCTGTTTGGATACCTTCTACATAAGTATGTATGGATGAAAAAAAAGGGAAGCTCAAGTTTTGGATACATAGGACATAAGGAACATTGGATGGTCTTTATTTCTTGAATTTGACCCCCCATGCTCCAGCCAAGATGGCACTTCAGAATAAAGTCATTACTACTAGGTTTGATTTGGCACTTGTTGCAAGGCACTCCTTTCCACCAAAATCCCCGAGAAATGGGAGTTGATCCCCCAAACCCATCAGCGGGTTTGGGAGTTGAAACCCCAAGAAATTTAATTAAAAAAAGCCAACCCCCGAAGGAGTTGGGGGTCAATGCCCCAAAACCCACTAGGTTTTGGGGGTCGCTAACCAAAAAGAGCCTGCGACAGCTGGGAGGATTCCTCCCGGCCACTGATGGCACACCCTCAGCGGCTGAGAGAAACACTCTAGGGCGTTGAGGGTGTTCATCCTCAACGACCAAGAGGAACACTCTTGGCTGTTGAGAGTGTACACCCTCAGCAGCCGAGAGAAATTTTTGTCCAGAGTAGGACAGACGGGGGATGTAGATGAAATAGAACAAGAACCCAAAATTGGATTGGTATCAAATAAATTCTCAGGTTTTAGCAAATCAATCATACCCCAATTGAGAAAAAATAGATACATCTATTGCCATCCTTGGAGAATATAATAAAAAGGGAAAGGGGAGGACAGAGAATATTCGGCTTTGGTCAGGAAGACATTTTATGTGTTGAGATAAGTGTGGGTGATCTCATTCTTGATCAAGCACCTGAGCCTAGAGGGGATAGCAAGATGATGAATAAACAATTGAGAAAAAGCAGTTAGCCAATGCTTAGATCAGGCGCCTTTTTCAAGAAAAAATGTATTAAGGCCAAAGACAAGACAAACTAGGATAATTACTGGTGATGTGGCTGGGTTGTTGACAATTAAAACACGTCTGGGTTTTTAACTAACTAGGCTGAGGCGCAGGTGGGGGCTGGATTGCCATACAATCCCTAACATCAATGCAAAAGAAGAGAAGAGGAGGAAAAGAGTTGGCGAGAAGGGTGGATTTGATGATGATGACCAAGACCAATGGCACAATGAATGGTCAGATATCAGGTTTGGGTTATCATCCGGTTCTTCACCTCCCCCACTCCTGAGAAACACTCTTGGTTGAGGGTGTACACTCTCATGAACGGCCGAGAGTGTTTCTCTTGGCCGCTGAGGGTGTACCATCAGTGGCTGGGAGGAATCTTCCCGGTCGTTGCAGGCTCTTTTCCACCGGTGCTCCTTTTGGTTAGCAACCCCCAAAACCCAGTGGGTTTTGGGGCATTGACCCCCAACTCCTTCGGGGGTTGGCTTTTTTTAATTAAATTTCTTGGGGTTTTGACTCCCAAACCCGCTGACGGGTTTGGGGGATCAACTCCCATTTCTTGGGGATTTCAGTGGAAAATTTGGGGGTTTTGGGGTTTGGGAGTTGACTCTCCAATTTTTGGGAGTCTATTAGCCAAGACCCATTTTTTGTTATTTTTTTGTTAGGGGAACGACTCCCAAACCTTTTGAAGGTGTTGGAGTTCTAACTCCCAATTTTGGGGTTGGACGTCCTGAAGACCGTCAGCAGACGGTCATCTTGACTTCCCAGAAATTTGGGAGTCAGAAATTCAATTTCTGGGAGTTGTTTAACTAAGACCCTTTATTTAATTTGATTGTATATTTTGTCAGTCTTACTTTCTTTTATTTTTTATACTTTCTTTATCCGAGGATTGTTGTTTTCTTCATCAAGTGAAAGGAGAATCACTCGCTTCTTATAGTGGTTCAGCGGGGGCTTGATGTGACCACAAGCCATTCTTGGTGTCAATGGTATTGCAAAGAGAGGAGGAGTTGATAAATTGATCTCTGTCCAGATGGTAGTGTACTAGCTCTAGCAATGGGAGAGTTGCGCTCACAGTTTGCTTGCAATTATTGATCGCAGGTTTATTAAAAATCAGTCACTTGGTTGTACAATCCTGAGGTCAATGGGATGCGTACAAGGAGAGGATGTGAACAAAGGCTAAGTGTCCTTGGAAGATTGTTGGTGAATATTGAATTCATCTTGAGATTGTGACTCGTATTGATGACCGATTGAAGGAAGATTTCCGAGAAGCAACTCGCAAGGATCCTGAAGTTAGTCGCCTTCTGAAGCCAACCCACAGACCAGAGGTCACCCACCAGACTGCCCTTAAGCGGGTCAGTAGTTGGGTTTTTGGGCTGACCCAAAATCAAAACTTCGACCCGGTAATTAAGCGGGTCACACTCGGGTCGGTTCACATATATTTTTTTCATATAAAGTCGACCCAAACCCGCCCCGAGACCCAATGGGTCACGGGTCACTTGTGGGTTGACCCAACCCACTTTCATCCTGAAGATTCAATACCCGAGCCCAAATAAATATTTGGGACAAACAAATGCAATTCAAGGAGATGTGTGAAAGCTTGCACCCAGCCAACTGCTTCCACTGTCAAAGCAAGTCTTCTCAAGATGGCTTCAAAACATTGTGGTAAATAATACTGTGTTTCTACGCAGAAAATATAAAAATTTCTCATTATCTCTTTATTCATTCAATATATGGTAAAACAACATCAAAAATGGAATCCTCAGGTAAAATAACCCCTATTCACCCACTACAACCATACCCTTATCTCTTATAGTTTAGAAGTTACACAGATTTCAACCTGTCATGGGATTTTTCATTGGATTCTTCAGTCTGACCATAGTCATTATGAATACAGGATGAATATTGCATACTTAATTCCTTTGTAGTAAATTGAATACCTTTATATTATTTTGAATCCCTTTGTATTAGTAATATTGCATGTATGCATCCCTTTGATCATACATATGTGTCCCTTTATTCATTTTTATGCATCCCTTTGTAGTAGTATCTCACAGCCTGTACCCTGGGGCCAAAATCCCTCACATTGTTCTATATAAGGAAGTCTCTGCCTGCCAGTTGTTCCCTCCATCATCCCACCAGTGGACCAGATCATCTCAACCACCCTTATAAATAAATCCATCTTATATATTATTTCATAACTACAAGTCATAGCCACATTGAAATTACAGAATTATACACATTGAAATACAGATTTAACACTTTAATCATCATCATAAACCAAAAGTGCCCTGAACCATATTGATGAAAAACAGGTAATATTACTGAAACAAGAACCAGAACTGTTTTTGAAAATGAAAGACAAGAGATTAGATACATCAGAAAAACAACAATAGCATGAGAACCAATGATGTATGAGAAGTAGAAAAGAAAGCATACCACGGTGAGATTTATGATTAATAGGAAGGAGAGCAGACAAGCTTAGGTATATGAGATCAAAAAGAGAGAAGTAGTAAGAACTGAAGTTTGAGAAGAGGAAACAAAAAAGGTTAGAGACTTTTGATCGATTCCCTTTGATGAAGTTAGTGAGTTTTGATTTTCTCACCAAATTGGCAATAGCCAAGAGAGGATGTTGAGAGAGAGAGTCGGAGGGATTAGGAGTGGTGAAGATTGAACTGAATAGAAGTCGAGATGTCGTCGAGATCGATAGGACTGTTCAATGAGAGAGAAAAGGGATAGGAGATAGAGGAAGGAAGAGGTGACGATGCGGATACGGAAGGGAAAGTGGAAGTTCGGAATGTTGGGTGAGTTATTGGATGTTGAGGTGAAGAGCCGAGCAGTTGAGGCTGAGAGGAGCGAGTGAGATTGAAGTGGTCGAAGGTGGCTTTTGGTCGACAGACTGCTGAGGAAGAGGATTCGGATCAGACGGAGGCCGCTTTTTATAGAGAATGTCTCGATTGGCTGAGTTGTGGTTTTGATTTATGCGCCGGAGTCGTGATGTCGGAGGATAAGGAAATTGGAAGAAGGAGGAAAGAAGATAACGAAAGGGGAATGAAACAGGAGAAGAAGGAGAAGATTTAGGAGGAAGCGAGAGGAAAAGAAAGTACAGAAACGAGTTGATTGAGACCGGAGGAGCGGAGCGGATAAAAGGTCCGAAATTCCAACACATATTCATCAAAAACAACTTCATCAATATAACCAACAGTCAATAACATCTTCATACCCTTACACATACCAATCGGCAGCTTCATCTCAAACTTATCCCTATCACCATGTATAAAATTGCCAAGCTAAGATTGGTGGTCTTGTTATTCTGATAGTATAGAAGGGCAGAGCTTGCAACTCCAACATACCCTTCTCCATTCAGCAAAAGGGTTTCACAACCACCTTTGAGTCTTACAACATCTCTTGGCAGCAATCATTCACTCGAATCCCTTCTAGGTAGACATTGCTTGCCCCATGGAGCACTGATGAGGCACACAAAAGTTCAAAAATAGCATTCCAATTAATGTCACAAGCTCTCCATTTGATCACTACCCAACATCCTGGGGCTCTTTGGGGTACTCCAGACCCATCCCAAGAAGTGGTTTCAGACCAATCCCAAGAAGTGGTTTCTCTCAGGGTGTCACCCCAGGTGGTTACTTTCAGGTACCACCCTCATGCATCAACAGGAATAAAACATTCAAATATATACCAAAATTGGCTATGAAACATGCAAAATAAATATACAAGGGTGGGTCAAGACTCAAAATACAGTTCCATATTCATATCCCATTCATTTTCCTTTCTTGATTCTGAAACTTCTTGTCTAAAATTTTAGCTTGATTTTCATTCAAGGGACTTCTATTTACCTGAACTTTTTAAGTGCATACAGTAGCAAAGTGTCCCTTGATGTGCTACAAATGGGCCCTGTTATGAATCACCTCTGGAAGGTTTCTAGAGCCCCCAGGGGTTTTGCAAGATAAAATTGAGAATTCTAACATATAGCTGTAGATTAAAACATGGTCTTAAGAAGTGATTTTGGCCCTCCTGAGATTCACATGATGTATCATATTGGTTTTATTGTTTCATTTCCAACTGAAAAAGTATCATTGATTGACCATCACAAAAATGTGCAAAACTTGAAATTCCAGTGCATTGCTGGTTCACTGTCAACAGACATGAAAAATTGTTCCAAATTGAATGATTAAAAAACAAAGACATCTATTCAATGGTATTAAAAAGGGAACCAAAAAAAGTCCATTTTTTCTACACTGACAAAAATTCCAATGGTAATTACATTTTATTATGGCTAGTTGTTGAAAAAACTTCAAAAGAGGTTCATTGATATGGACTTTAATTGACCTGTACATAGTCCTAAACAATCAAAAGATAAGTATCCAAGTTTAATCATGAAACATTAGGAATGAAGATCCAATCAAAAACAGAAAGAGATTATTTCATTGTGATTCAACCAGATTAGTCTGAATCATGTAGGAATTTTTCAATGTATATGTCAGTGGTCACCAGGAAATATCAATTCTGACTGGATGGCATGTGGCATGAATCAACCTTGATTACTGCCCCTCTGTAACTTCAGCCCTGTTTCAGCCCAACCACAATGACCCCTTTTTATGCTTGAGGGGGCTGAGGCAGAGTTGAACTATATCTTTAGGGACGGTGCACAGCATTCTGAACTTGGCTTGATGTCACTTTCCATTTAGGGAGAAATTTTTTTCCTGTTCCTGGTGTGGGCAATTTCAAGCTTCTGGCTGTTAAATTTTGTTGGGACTGCATTAGTTTAGCAAAATGTCAATAAAATTTGAGTTTTTGACAAATTTGATTTGCAATCAAGTGCCTATGAACATGAAACAGGCTAATTCAACTGTTCAAGGGAAACAGAATGATACCAAAATCCTGGATCCCATATAGGGGCTTCATCACAACTTAAAAAATTACAGCAAGCAAGGTTTATTGAAATGCTTCCAAGAATTTGGCACTGTACTGAGTCTGACATGATTTTAGAAAGAAAAAATTGACTGCCCAGCTGCCCAGCTGCCCAACTTTAAACACATTTCATGAAACTTCCCTAAATCACCGGGAAAAATCAATGCTCACTAGATGGCAAATGGCATCATGTAACATCAATGACTGCTCCAGTACTGTAGCTCCAAATTTACTGCAACCCAAATACAATCATGGCTTTGTGTGCTTCATAGGGCTGAGGCATAGTTGATCTAGGTATGTAATGGGTAGCATGATGGGCTTAGGCTGATGTCACATGTCATCTAGTGATCATTGTTTTTCCTGGGGCATGAAACAGGCTAATCTACAGAGTTTCACTTGCACATCCTGTCATTTTTCAATGTACACTTCATGATATACTTTTTTCCCATATCCTCTGCTATCATTCATGTAATGCTGTGCATAATATTTTCCACCCCAGTTTCCCAGCTCTTAAAATTTGGAAATCTTCAGAAACCCCTCTCTCATTACATCCACATCCCCCACATTTTTGTGTATATAAGTAGGTTATTTTCCCCTAGAATTTTCCCTTCATTTCATTACTCACCAATCAGATAAAACCCCAAATTACACCAATATAAGCAAAGTCTTACACACATAATAAACAAAATTTACTATACAACTAGATTCAATCAGAGGCAATCATGAATCTTACCAAAGTTTCCAACATATTACCATTTATAAGACTTCTAGGATATTGTTTGGAAGCTGTTGATAGTCATGAAATTGTTACTTATAAAGGTTCTTTCAAAGAAATAATAGATAATGTTGACTATCTTGATGGTCAAGAATTATGTCATCATTCAAACCAACATATTTGTGAATCTTGTCATAAATGTTCATTATGTTCTCCTAATCATTGTCCTCCTAGGAATTAGAATATCTGGTTGATATTTATTCTACGTCCCCTTGTTGCCAATTCATCATTACATCTAGTCCAGGTAGCTTTTTTTCTCAAGTTGTTAAATACTTCATTCCTCTTTCACTGTACTTTGTTTATATTTTCTTCTTCCCCCTTTTTCCACCCTCATATTCTCTTCTCTGAACTCCCCCCAATCTTTCTCATTTTACCCAACATACTCAAGCACTCTCCCAAACCTCAACAATTCAATTTTCTTCAACTCAATCATCACCTCTATATCCAACTATCTTCTGCATTCCTCAAGCCTAATTCAACTGAGTCAAGCCTAAACTTTCCATCAAAGTGGGTTATTTTCATCTCAAGTACTTCTTGTTTTCTTATTTTTCTTATTTTTTGCTGATGGTTGCTTTGTTTCAGATCTGTCTGTCTCTCCCCCCTTGTTTCAATTTCATTACAATCCTAAATTACCTGTTTTAAAATGAATATGCATGTTTTCCCCTTCTGTCACACAAATTACAACCTGTCCCCCTTTTTTTATAGCTTGTAAGTCAGCTGTTTGGATAAGAAATTCATCATGACTCATTATGTGCACTTTTACCTGAGGGGGTTTTCTACAGGGGAGTGATAACCACCCCCCCCCCTTTGTGCACTAACTCCCACACTACCTTCTCTGTAGAGATGGCCCTGCCACATCCAGATATCCCCTCCCTTTTTTAGTGGAATTGGACATCTGCATCCGCATGCGCTGGAGGGTATCTGGCAGCCACAGCGGGTATCAGAGCGGGTATCCATGGATACCTGCCCTTTAAAAGTTTGGCAAGGCACAGCCTTGCTGTCTGAAAGGGTTTCCTTCCAGCCAGAAAAGTACATTTGCCTTGCCTTCTGGAAGGGTTTCCTTCTAGCCAGCAAAGTAAATGTACCTCACTGGCTGGAGGGGTTTTCTTCCAGCCGGCAAGGTACATGTACTTTGCCGGCTGGAAGGAAACCCTTCCAGTAAACAAGGTACATGTACCTCAAAACATTTTGGTCAACAAGGTACATGTACCTCATTGACTGGAAGGGTTTCCTTCCAGCCGGCAAGGTTGTGCCTTGCCAACCATTTAAAGGGCAGGTATCTGTGGATACCCGCCAGCAGATGTGGATGTGGATGTCCAATTCCGTTAAAAAAGGGAGGGGATATCCGGATGCAACAGGGCCATCTCTAGAGTCATCTCCCAAAAACGTTTAATAAAAAATACTCATTCCCTGGAAAAAACCTCTGGGGAACAACCACCAAATATCAATGGCCCTCCTGTAAATTCTCTTGTTCATGGAGAGCTGCAAGCTCTCAGTGACCAAGAGAAATTACTCCTGGTAGCTGTAAGCTGTACACTCTCAGTAGCCTAGGGGAATTACTCCTGGCTATTGAGAGTTCACATCTCTCAATGATCGAGAGGATTCTCTTGGTTGCTGAGAGTTTTAAGATCAGTGACTGAGAGGGCTTACACCCAGCTGATGAGAGTTGTGAGCTCTCAATGTCCAAGAAAATCCTCCTGTCTGTTGAGAGTTGTGTGCTCTTGAAGGCCAAGAGGAATTACTCCTTTCCATTGAGAGTGTACACTCTTGACAGTCAGAGGGATTACTCACAGCCATCAAGATGTGCAATTAGGAGGGGGAAACACTGAAACAGAGGCAAGGCAAGACAATACCCAGTGCTTATCTGTATCATCTCAGAATTTGAATACCCAAAAATACCGATACTTGTCTGTCTTACTTTCCTGAGACAATACACATGTATCGTCTTTGGAAAGTGAGACATTTATTGTCTCAGAGGGCTGATCCCACCAAAATTGTCTTCAATACACAAGATATCTGGTTGTATCAACAAAAAAAGACATTTTTTGCTTGGAAAATACAAATCTAAGTAGGTGGATTTTCTTGCCAACCAAGAGAATACTGATACCAGGTATCAGTCTCAAAATAAAGACGAGACAAGAAATCCCAAATATGCGTCTTGTTTCTGTTTCAGCATTGGAGGGGGGAAAAACTTAATAGCCAGGAGGATTCCCCTGGTCGCTGAGTGTGTACACAAATCTTGACGGCTGGGAGGGCACTCAAGATTTGCAGGGCATGCCCTGGAAGTTTTTTCTGGCAAATAATTTTTTTAAAGGCTTTGGGAGCCGCTTCCAATGCCCAGTTCAGGAATGGGAGGAATGACTTCCAAGGTTTGTGCAGTCTTCCCAAAAAACCTCAAATTTGGGATTCAATTCTCCCAAATTTGGGAGTCAATTGACCAAGGCTCTTCAATAAAGACTGCACAGCCTTCCAGGGCGGTGCATGCAGGTGAAAAATAAAGCCAAACTAATATATTCCGTGGAGATAAAGAGGTGTGGGAAATTGTCTATATACCTTGAACTGTCAAGTGCCATCTCTAAGATCTATTTCTAGCTATGAAACAACCCAGGGATCTGGGGGGTCCTCCAGACCCATCCCAACAAGTGGTACCACTGGGGATGTCATCCCCTGGTGGCCACTTTCAGGTGCCGATCTTATGTACCAACAGTCATAAATTAACACTGAAAGAGCTTTTAAATTCAGCTATGAAATTCAAACATGCAAAATAAATATAGGAGGTTTGGACAAAATCCAGATTTCTGATTCCTGTCTGGTTGAGTTTTATTTCTTTCTTGGGTACTTCTTTTCCAGAAGTTTAGCTCAAGTCTTCCCAAAGGAACCTCTTTTCAAGGGAAATTTCAAGGGCACATTATATTTTCAGTGGCACAGGAAATCATCAAAGATGCTACATCCTGTCCTCAGAGTCGAATCCCATTTGGATGTCCCTTGATGTGTTACAAATGGGACTTGTTATAAATAAACTCTGCAAAATGTCTGGAACCCCCAGGTGTTTTGAACTATAAAAAAGACGATTCATAAATCATAAAACAGGACATCTAAACAGGGCCCCAGGAATTGGTTTTGGGACTCTACCCCATTGGCTGGCTGCTGAACTGCTTTGCTTTAATTTAACATTGAACTGCACCAAAGGTTTAGCAGATTGTCAAGAAGTGTTATGTTTCATATGAATATTATTTGCAATTGTGAACCTTGTATGAACATGAACCAGGCTAATGGTACTGGCCAAAAGTAAAACAGTATGTATGGTGTACAACTGAAACCAGTAGTCTGGTTCACATAGGGGCTCAATCAGAAGTAAATAAAGAATGGAAGGAGCAAGGTTTATTGACATTTTGCCAAGAATTGGGCACAGTACTGCACTAATTTCAAAAGAAAATGATCGACCAGCAGCCAAAAACTTTACACACATGTCATAAAACTGCCCTGCATGAACCAGGATAATCTGTGTATTGCACATCCTGCCATTCACCAGTCGATTTACACTTCATGACATGCTTTGTTTCCCTATCCTCTGCTACCATCCATGCCAGGCTGTGCATAATGTCTGCAACCCCAGTTTCCCGGCTCTTCAAATTTGGCAATCTTCAGAAATTAGTCTCTCCTGACACCCAAACCTCCCACATTGTTGTGTATAAAAGGAGGCTCTTTTCGCTGGGAATTTCCTCTTCAGTTCAGTACTCACCAATCAGATAAACCCCCAAGTTAAATCAACACCGGGAAAGTCTTACACACACACATAAGACACTTGAATTCATCTAGTTTAAATCAGAGTCAATCATGAAGCTTACCAAAGTGTCCAATGTATTCCTTTTTATAAGCCTTTTAGGGGATCACTTGGAAGCTGTTAATAGTCATGAGATTGTTACTTATAGTAAAGGTTCTGTGAAAGAATCAATAGATCATGTTGAAGATGTTAATAGTCATGAAAGATGTGATCATTTTGTAAATAATATTTGTGAATCTTGTCATAAATGTTCACGATGTTTTCCAAACCATTGTCCTCCTAGGAAGTAGAACCTTGGGTTGATATATTTGTTTTTTATGTATCCCTTTGTTGTCAATCCATCATTACATCTAGTCCAGTTAGCTCCATTTCTCAAGTTTGCACATATTTCATTCCTCTCAATTCACTCTCCTTTTTTCTATCCCATCATCTTCTCCTGTTTATCTATTTACTTATTCACATCTTCTTCTCTTCTCTCCCCCCACTCAATCTTTCTCATTTTACTTAATTACATCCTCAATCACACTTCTAAACCTCAACACAAGTCTATCTTCTTCATCAAATCAGTCATCACCTCTATCTCCAAATTTTTCTGCTTATTCCTCAATTCTCCTTCTACTAGTTCAAACCTTAACTGTCCATTATTCCCTAGTGAAAATTCTTTTCTATCTCTTTTCATCCCCGTTCTCTATGGCCTTAAAGTGAGGTATTTTCATCTTCAGTGCTCCTTGTTTTGCTATACTGATGTTTGTTTGTTTGATTTTAGATCTCTTTGTCCCCCCCCCCTTAAAATTTCAAAGTTAGAACTATGACTTGTATCCAACCAAGAATTCTTCAACATGTCATCACGATTCTGATCGAAATCGTTCATAATGAATCTCCAGCTACTGTGAATAGATTACATAGTACTGTTTTTTTGCCTTGACCAAGCTCAGCCTCCAGCACAACTTGGTCCTTGATGTTGATGTTGTAACAGTGGTTAATTCATTTGAAGCTGTCTGATCTTGATTGAAATCGACTATCAACTTCAGTTTCTTATTTTATATCATCTACACAAACACAAGCAAGTGTGAGTCTGATTGTGAGTGTGACTGGACAGCATGTTATATTGTATGTAGTGGGAGATTCAGCTTGGCTGTTCTGATTGCTGGTCATATTCTGATGTCTTGCAGTGTCCCATGCTGCAAGAGTGATTGCTTGATGGGCTGAGAGATAGGATGGTGAGTTTGTGGTGAGATGCCAGCTGAGTGGTGTACTACATTGAAGAAGCCGATTGTTGGTTTCGAGTGAAAAAAAAAAAAATAGTAATCAGAAAACCTGGGAAGAACCAAATTTACATCATCCACAACCACCATCATCATCATCAAGAAGAAGACAGACAGACAGACAAGCTGACGATGACCGTCAAGACTCGAAGACAGCTGATCAACGATCGAACATCAAAACTAGAACAAGAACAAGAACAAGAACAACTACCAAAGCAATCCATACCACTACGAACCACCTCAAGCCAACTAACAACAACAACAACAACAACGACAGACCAAGAGCAAGAGCAAGAGCAAGATCAAGAGCAGGATGAGGAACCAGACGACTTCCTCTTCTCAGACGACCCAGCCCATCCCTGTTCCCAAACGCACCTCAACAACCGAGCCAACTACTCATCAGCGTCCCGGAATAACCCGTTCTTCTTCGGCCAACCGGACGATAAACTGGAGCCATACCAAATGAAGTCAATCCCCTACCCCTTCCAACTCATTCATCATCACCTTCATCATCATCATCATCAATCTCCCTCCAAATGACTGATCGATCTGCTTCAAAATCAGACACGACGACTCCGTCAAATGGGTCTATCGTCCCTCAACCTTGACAGCCGCCGCCATCGGAACCTCTGTCCTCGCCAGTCTCGCCTACAACAGTCACATCTTCCCGCGCTCCTTCCGCTCTCATCTGTACGTTTCCTTCTCATCCTATGTCCTCTGCTTCAACAAAAAAAAGACAACTTATGTCTTTCTTCTGTTTCCCTTTTTTTCAGCGGCGTCATCTCAGGCGTAACCGTCTTTCTGGTCTTCTGCATGCTTAACTTTCGGGACGGACCATTCAGGCGACCCCATCCAGCATTCTGGTAATCCCACTTCACACAAGCCCCCAAATGCCCCTCAAAAAAGGAAATTAACAAATGAAAAGTTTTTTTTTTTTTATAATGACAGGCGGATTGTTCTAGGCCTCAACCTCCTATATTTCATGATCCTATCGTTCTTATATTGGACCGACAAATCTTCAGCCCGAGAGTTGATCCGATACTTCGACCCCTCCCTAGGGGTCCCCTTGCCCGAGAAAAGCTACGCCGAGAACTGCGAATTCACGCCCCACAACGTCTGGCAAGGCATCGATATCTTCTGTCTCGCTCATAGTCTTGGATGGTTCGCTAAGGCTGTCGTGCTTAGAGATCATTGGTAACTTTATTTCTCTCTCTCTCGCTTTTTTGAACTTTTTTGGGATTTTTTCTGATGTCATTTTTTTGATCGATCTTGGTTGGGGTTGTTTTTTTCAGGTTTTGTTGGATCTTGAGTGTCGGCTTCGAGGTCATGGAATACTCACTCCAACATCATTTACCTAACTTTGCGGAATGTTGGTGGGATCATTGGATCCTAGACGTATGTAAGTTACATAACCGATGAATATTTATTTTATCATTTATCAAACATCATAAATTGCAAAAACATAACCCAAACTAATACAAAAAAAATCCCTTCAACAATAAAAGTGATATGTAATTGGGGAGGATTATGGTTAGGAATGAAGACCTGTGAATGGCTCCGAGTTTCGCCCTTCTCCTGGCGCGGCTTACGGCCAGTGGTGGTGAGCGAGAACCTGACGACCTCGCGACGAAGGGCAGCCAAGTATGCTGCCCAACAGTTCACTCCTCATGATTGGACCGAGTTCCGGTGGGAAGGCACCAAGAGGTTCCGGAAGTCTGTCTTCTTCCCCTCGACCCCTATCATCATTATCTATCCTTCATCCTCCTCAACAACTTACTTATTAGGACGACGATTTTTTTTTCTTAGTTATATCTCAACAGTCGCACTCTTAACAGTCTTCTTGCTCTCCGAGCTAAACGTCTTTTATGTGAGTTCGATCCTTTCTGTTCTGATCGTCTGTTTTCAGATATATTTTAGACTCGAAATGCTGAACTGATTCGGATGGAGGATGGATAGTTAAAATCCTTACTATGGCTGGCGCCCGAGCATCCGATCGTGATTATCCGCTTGGCGGCCATGTTCTTATGGGCCTTACCTGCGGTTCGAGAGTACTATGACGTTGAGTTTTTGTTTTCCTAGTTCCTCATCTCATTCAGATCTTTATTTGTTGGGCGTTGGGTGTTGACATTTGGGTGATCGTTTCGTAGTATGCTACTTATACTAAACGCGTTAAACGCATGGGCTCTCATGCTTGGCTTTCGATGGCGACTGTAATTGTACGATACTCGATTTTCTTTGGTTATCATGTCATCACCTCAATACGACCAAGCAAAGAAATTGACGGGATGATTTTTGTTTTGTTATTGTTGAAAGTTGGAATTACTGATAGTGATCAAATGGTCGAAAGGAGAATTCGAAGAATCAGTGATGCCGATCAAAGTGAAGATCTTTTGGAGTATCACGTTGATCTTATTGATCGTCTATCCGGCCATCAAGTTCGGCTTACCTGCACTCAAACAACATCAGCATCATTCTTCTTCTAAAAAATCTTCTCGGACTCGTTAGTTTCTTCTGCGGAGGGGTGGGGTGGACCCACTAGAATGATTTCATCATCTTCAGCTTCAATTTCTAAATCATCATCATCATCGTTTTTCTGTTCTTTCTGAAATAAAATTGTTTAGATATAGAAAGATAGATAGATAGATATATATAATATGTTTGATATATATATCAGCTCATCTCTGATCTCTATGCTTAATTAAGATATAAATACATTTTTCCCTTTCTTTTATCTATTGATTTATTTAGATTTTTTTTGGTTTTCTCTAATGAAACCACCTAAAGAATAATAAAGCAAGCATTACAATCTATTAAGAAACCATTGTGTGTGCTGTTTCTGGCGCTATGTTTCAGATTTTTTTTTTCTTTTGGGTTGAATTGTTTATTTGTGTTTGACTAGGGGCAAATGGATTTCTTTTGGTGTTTTTTTTTATGATGAGTGATTTGTGTATTTATCCAGCAGATGGAGACTTGATGATCCAAGCAGAGATCCATGGGAGATGGTTGGGTGTCACCATCAGCAGGGAGGGGTGAGATTGGTGGGTGAAATGCTGGGAAGACTGGATGGGGATGGAAAACACTTCAATCCACCCACCACACCACCACCAAGACACCACACCACTCTTTCCCTTCCCCAACAACCATGGCTTCTCCCTCGCCCACTGAAGTAAGGTCGGCCTAACTCAAATACTTAGAATACCAGTCATCGACCATACAAACTAACTCGTGATTTCATTCTTGACTGTCTAGCGTGCCGATCTATGCAGCAGCCCCATTACCACCAGGTTGGACTGAGCACAGGGGTCAGTAATCGAGCTAAACGAATCATCTAGAAGAGAAAAACTGATCGACATATCCCTCTTCATATATAGCACCAACTGGGCAATTCTATTACTACCATGCAGAGTCTGGAGAATCAACCTATGTTCGACCATCGATCCCGGTCCTGGCAACCAAGGAAATAGACACAAATGTAGTCAGCACATCTTCTAATAAATCAGGAGAAGGTACGGAGAAGAACGCGAGTACGACGAGTACGACGAGTACGACAACCACCACCAAGAAGAAGAAGGAGAAGCCCAAGACGAAAGAAGCGATCCCGGAGACGGTATGGATGAAAGTGACCACGACTGCCGGGAATATATTCTACACGAACGTGGAGACGAAGGTCTCCAGTTGGACGATCCCGGAGGAGATCAAGGAGCAGGTGAAGCTCTATGAGGAGGCTCAAGCACGGAAGGCTGAAGAGCTCAGATTGGCCGAAGTAGAACAAGCCCGAGCGAAGGCCGAAGAAGCGCAACGGATCCATGAGGCTGAACAACGACGGATGATCGAGCTGGAGGTGCAAAAAGTGCGGGCAGAGGTCGAAGCAGAAGCCCAACTAAGAGGCCTCAAGCGAAAGAACGACCATGCCGCTGAACCCGGCCAACCCCCTGTCCAGACTCCTGCAAATCCTTCTACCGGATCTGAAGGTGATCGTCTGGCCAAGATCGCTAAGGTGGAGCAGACTGCTCAGCCTGAGGACGATCAAGATGAAGATTGGCAACGTCAGATCGCGGAGGAAATGGCCCAAGAGGCCGCCGAACAATCCGGCACCAGTATCCCTCACCAAACTACTACTCCTACTCCTACTCCTACTACTGTTGCTTCTAATCCCCCTCCGGCGACTATCAATCAACCTCCTCTCACTGGACTCTCACTTGAAGAACTCAAGGCCACTTTCAAAGTAAGACTTTCTCTCTCTCTCTCTCTCTTTTCAGATAGATTTGCTCATCGTTTATTAATCTATTCCATCCTTCTAGGCAATGTTGCTAGAAAAATCAATCGATCCGATGGCGCCATGGGATAACGAGTTACCCAAGTTTGTGACAGATGCGCGCTATCTAGGTCAGTGATTTGTCTTTTCGCTTAACAATGCACCATCGATTGATTGCTTATTGTTTGACTTCCTTTTGTAAATCAATTTCTTGCGTGTTTTGTTTAGCGCTTCCTTCTATGAAAGAACGTCGTGACTTGTTTGATGAATTCTGTAAGGAGAAAATTCGGCAACTGAGGGCAGCCAAGTCGGCGGTTCCTAAAGTCGATGTAAGATCATTACTTTTTTTCACATATAAATAAGTGATTGAGATTCCATCCTAATTCCTTTCCTCTGTAAAATCTCAAGCCCCCTCAAGCATACAGATCATTACTGATAGAATTCGTAACGTCGACTAGGACGTTATGGGAAGATTTCAAAAGCAAACATAAGAAAGATCCTAGGTTTAGGAATTTCGGACGAGACGATCGAGAACGAGAGAAGGTTTTCAAGAGTTGGTTGAAAGAATTGGGCGAACAGAAGCGCAAACTCTTGCTCAAAGCCGAAGATGATTTCAAGAAATTGTTAATCGAGAAAGGGATTCCTCCAAAAGAAGGGGACGAAGAAGAAGAGAAAGAAGAAGAGTATAAGGATTTTAAGGAACGAGTCAAGAATGATCCACGGTTTCTAGCGATCACCAGTAATTCATCGAAAGAGTCGATGTGGAAGACGTGGCGAACAGATCAAAGACGGGCTCGAGACCTGTCGAAGAACGATGAAGGAGCGACCAATGTCTCGACCCAGAACGGTAAGGCTAATCCTGAAGAAGAAGAAAAAGAAGAAGAAGAGAACAAGAAGAAAAAGATGGAGAAACAGATGGCTAGTTTGAAAGCTAGAGAAGATCACGTCAATCAGATCAAGAAAAAGATCGACAAGGAGGCCGCCGTTAATCGCGCCTTGGTCGATAAAGATCACTTCGGAATCAATCCCGAAACGCATTAAACCCTCAACTTCATACGTTCTTGTGGCACCATTATCGTTGAGAATGTTTTTTTTTTTCTTCAGAGTTTATGAAATACTTGTCCAGCATTAAAGCAACTACATAATCCAAAAACTCTTTTATATATATATGTGTGTGTGTTCATTGATTGTTGGTTATACAAACATTATCTTTATACATATACATAGACAGATAAGCAGCGCATTATCACATCTTCAATTCCAATCAAAGCCATTCCAAATTCCAAGTGCAATTATGACTCAACACTTTTTTTTCTGATCATCATGACCATGATCTATGCAGCTTGCCAATTACACAGGGGTGGGATGGCCTGTGGCAGGCGGGACAGGATTTGTGACTGATGAAGGTGCTCAGCTGGCAAGAGGAATTGAAGTGCAGCAGGGGCTCGATGTGTGTTTGTGGACTTTGTAACTAAGATCCAATGCAATCAGGCCAATGATTAAAGGTGGACCAAAAAAAAGAATGGTATGCGTGTTCTCTCCTGGCTGCACCTTTGAGCATCTTTGAAAGGGAAAGCTTATCTGTGTGGGGCTCTACCATCATTATGCCTGGAAGCTTTGCAAAGAATGGCTGCTCCAGTCCCACAACCTTGTTACCAAAGGCACAACTAATATTGGCAAAAAACAAGTGTACCACTAGAGGGGGGGGGGGGGCATTTGAAAGCAGCTCTGCTGGGCACCCCAGTGTGGTTGACTCCTGCCCCTCATGGGTTCATCATCTTGACTGCATTTCTTGGAGCCAGCTGGGGTGACTATGCTCAGAGTAATGATGGCCAGACTGTAAGCAATATACATGCAGCAGTATCCTGGAAGCTGGACTCTGTAATAATTCTGAACACACAACACAAGAATCTATGCCAAAGGGGAAAAGTTGAGGCAGTTAAGGTTTGGAATCTCACAGCTGTCTTTTTCCATTGCAATCTGTGGACACATATATGTATGATGAGATAGCAGGGCAAACATCAGACTCTTGAGCTGGCTTCAAGGCTCAACTTCAAGTGAGCTACATATTTTAACCAAAAAAAGGGGCCACATTAAATGTCCCAAAATTGATTTTTTGCTCATTTGAGACATTTTCAGTTTTTTTTTTTGGCTTAAATAGCTCATTTGTAGGCAAACATTTTTTTTTTTTGGTTTCCATCATTGTGAAAGGGAAGTATGCCATTTTCATCCTCAAAAAGAGTGCTTTCTTCCTGGGCCAAAGCAGGTTTTGTTCACTGGAGGAAATGTGGGTCAGATTATGTCCCAATCACTGGGGTTCCATAAATTGAGCAGTCAAATTAATTGAAACTGCACAAGTGGAGAGTTCTGAAGGCCTTCTTGATCCTCAGCTGCACATGTGTTGTTCTCCCTTCTCCCCACATCCAAGATCAACTTTTTTTTTTCAAAGCCCAACAAATCCAATGAGAAAGTATTGGTTTGCTATTTCTCAGTCTTATCTCAAGCTTCAAGCTGAGACACACTGCTGGTGATCAGAGACCAACCAAGGCCTAAACCTGCACATGAACATTACATTATGAAGATATATGATAAGTTAATTGTTGATTGTTAGAAGATAAGCTGATATGTAATTGAATAAGCATGCAAAGAGAGGAAATCAATCTTTAGAGGTCTTTCTTTACATTGTATATTGAGGTCATTTTATATAATGATGGGAAGCAACATGTCCCTTTATCTTAAAAAAGAGATCCAGAAAAAGCCCTGGCTATGATCAAAAGAAGGGAACTGACAAATAAAGTATTCAAATTGAGAGGAAAGCCTTGTGATAAGCACACACATTGTCATATATATACATAACACATATACATGGGTGCCAATGTATAGATAGATAAACACTTCCATTGTATAGATAATACTTATAAATATAAGTATATTCAAAAAAAAAAAAAAAAAAAAAACAGAAAGCCAAAAAAAAGAAAGCCAAAAAAAAAGATTGGGAAGAAGAATCAAAAAGAAATCTATGATCATGATAATATGAAGAAGATGGATGTTTCATTCATAAGGTTTAAGAAATATATAAGTAGATATAGATATATGTGGTTGGAAGGTACGATTTTGTACAAACTCAATAGAAAAAGCTAAAAAGAAGTAGAAATGGTTTTGATCAAGAGAGAGAGAGACAACTAGAAATCAAGTTTACGTGTGGATGTGAGTGTAATAAAGAGGGTTAAAGTATAGTGGTTGTTTTTCTAAGATAGTAGATAGTCTCTGACCAATTCGTAAGTTACAAATGAAGTGCCAATACTTGGTGCTACCTAAACAAAACAAAACAAAGGTAGAAAAAGGAAACATAAAAAAAGAGGGTGGATGTGTGAATGAATGAATTTGATTGAAGGAAAAAAAGGTTTAGTTAGAAGGGGAAGAGGCAGAGGGAAGACGGACCTTAAGGAAGTTAGGCCATAAACCTTTATAGAGTCCACCGAGGCCTTCTTTCTTGATGATTTTACGAGTCGCATCCCACGCGCCGTTATACTGGAAGCCGATATTTGACATTCCAGTGACCTGCATCCTGCGTCTGAGGACGTCCAAAGGGTAGGTGATAGTCTGAGAGAAGGCGCCCGCGAGGGCTCCACAGGCGAGTTTACGGAGCACGCCCGGTTGTTGTCGGCTTCCGGAGATCGAGACGGGTGGACAGAAGTACGTTTTGAGGAACTCGTAGGCGGCGAAGTTCGAGCCCACATAGGGTGCCACTCCGATCACTGTTGGCACTAGGCCTCGATAGAGCCCCCGGATCCCTCCCTCATGCTTGTAGACATGTATGCTCATCCGGATCATCCCCATCCCTTGGTCCTCGACCCCTCCCTTCGTCGGCCGTCGCGTCCCGATGCTTGCAGAAATTATACTCAGTCTTGAGCGCACTAGATCTAAGGGATACGTCGAGACTACCGAACAGATCCCTGCTATCGCTCCCGCCCCCAATCGTAATGGCGTCGTTAATTCTCCCGTCGACGAAAATCTTGATAATAATTTCTTGGCTATCTCGTATGATGAAAATTGAATAGCTGAATAAGGCGCTATATTAAATCAAGTTTAAGAAATACAAATTCCAGATGGACGTCTTTTTTAGCCTTTACCACATTTTATTTTGATTGTATTTTGTAGAAGAGAAAAGAGAAAAAAAAAACAGAAGAATGGAAAGTATATGAAGGTGGAATCCAACGAACCTATCCGAATGACGTTAATCCCATTGCCTTTGAAATACCCACGCCAGCCTTCTTCCCTTCCGATCTTAACCAAGGAAGGCCACATGCCCTGATAATTAGCCGATCCGGGACCTTGACACTGACTAAAGGAAGAAGAAAAGAAAAATAGAATGAGAATGAGCAAATTGATTGAAAAAAGAAGTGAGGAGGAATCGGAGGGAAGAAAGGAAGGGAGAAGGAAGGAAGACTGAACAAGATGATTTTCAGGCGTTCGAGTGGAGAGACTACAGTTCTTGACATTGCTCCAGCGGCCCCACCGGCGATAAAGTATTCGACCAAATGCGAGCTAGTCGATTCCGGTTTAGCAGGCCGACCACTGGCCGCTGGTGTCGTCGATGAAGCCGTGTTTGTCGAGCTCGAGGAGGAAGAAGAAGAAAAGGCTGAGGTGGAAGCTGAGGTGGGCGAAGGCCGGTGAGTCGAAGAGGAGTCCGATGACATCTCGTCCGATAGCTGGGGTCTAGAATCTTGTACTCGACGAGCACGCACTCTCCTCTTTCTTTTCCTATGGCGACTGGCTGTCTCCTTGGATGATGATGATGATGATGATAGTGATGCTTGCTGTGGCAGTTGTTTCAGGTCTGGTTTGAGCAGTGGTGTTTTGTCAAGTCGGCTGAGTCTTCTGAATGTTTGGTTGGTTGATAGTAGAAGATGAGAGATGGTTGGTTGGTTGGTTGGTTGTGTTGGGTGGTTTTGTTGGACAGCAGGCTGAGCCGGTGACTCAGTCGAGGGTGTTTTTTTGTGCCCACGCCCTCCTCTGCATGGACTTAAGATGTGTTTGGACTTGTTTGTCTTCCAGGATGCTCAGCTTCAAAACTTATACCTCACTCTCCCTTCAACATTTTCCTATCACTGATAATCATTTGGAAGATGTTTCTGTATAACATGGTTATCCAAAAACAGCCCTTATATGTAGCTTGCGGATTTGCCCAGCTCTGCACAATGGTATTGTGCTTCACCCGATAAAACTTCTGAAGTTTCGAAAGCTGGCTGCATACATCCATGAAGATTTCTCAAAAGACTCTTTTGCGTTACAGTCCCTCCTGGTACATGAATATCTACAAACATCAAAATACAATCTCGAATATGTATATTTACATGTTTGTCTAAAAAAAATTGAACATCATATCATGTTTGTTCTAATTTCCCATCCAAAAGAAGAAGGGAAGAAAAAAAGAATGTATCACCAAAAGGAAAACTGAAGAACTGCGAAAAAAAATAGGATAATGACGATAGAAGAACTCAAGGAAGAAAGCGATTGATGAGAGTTTTTAAAGAGTCAAGAAGATGGATCGAATCAGAATCAGAGGTAAATATGCTGTTAATGAAACATGACGAAGAAGAGGAAGGATGATGGTGGGTGGTTAATTTGAGGAGAAAGAGAGCCATCTCGTCTGTCCATTGGATCCATTTGAACTGATTCGAAAAAAAAACAAATCGATCCGACACAAAAAAAATGAGCCACGAGTCTAGATGATCAAACATAAAAAAAGGAGGGGACGAGAGGGAGATAAGGAATACGACGAAGAGAGAGACTTACATGAGAGCCTAAGAAGTAGAGAGTCCGGAGACACAGAGTTTGGGAGTGACGAAGCGTATCTGCATGGAGGTCAGCCAGAGTGATTTTAGACGAGGAGAGGACGTGTTCGGGATGACGAGAGGACTTGGGCGAGGGGGGAGTCGGGATGGCAGGGGCAGCAAGGATAGCGTTGCGGAGATTGAGTACGATCGGAGTGGACTGGATGAGAGTCAAGGATTGGGTGAGGGAAAGCGTGTTCGAGAGGGCGAGGAACTTGAGGAACGACCAGGAGGATTCGAAGTGAGGGTACTGAGCGAAGGCGGCATAGCAGTCGCGGATGAACGGACTGACTGAGTCGAGGGGCTCAGGCTGCTGGTTTGGATGGGGTACCGACGGGACGGAGGGAAGCGGAGCGCAGGAGAGCAGGAAGGTGACGTAGTTGGCGGCGGAGTGGTCGCGTGGATGGAGTCGAATGAAGCCTAAGATCCGGACCCGTTCGGCCTCGATTTCCTCTTCCCTCATTGATGATGACATCATTGACGACGATCGATCGGCCGAGTGGACGAGTTGGTAGAATAACCATTTGCGATGGAACCAGCCGTAGTAGTTCCGTGGATAGAGCTCACATGTCTTGAGGCTGAATTCGAGCTCCTCTTTCAGGACTTGCGGAGGCAGATCAGCTAGAGGTCTATAAATCTTCGACGAGAATTTGTCTTCATCAGACCTTGTTGATGG